TTGGCTATTGTAACAGTGACAGTAACTGGTGACATGGGAATGCCACCGGTTGTGGGGGCTGGGTGGAGGGAAGGGTTGGGGCAAAAATAAAGTTGGATATATAATAAGAATAAAGAGTATACTTTTGCACACCAAAGTCAAATAAACATCAGATCTCCGCTTTTCTTCCTACTAATCTGATCCACCACTTCATGCCTTGTTACAATGAAGCTCATCCAAGAATTGCTCTGATTCTCATTTTTCATGCCTTTTTACCTCCTTCTTGGGCCACAATTCATAATATGGGAAATCAAAATGGGCCATCTGAAGTGTGGATATTCAATAAGTAAGCCAGGAAATATTCATATAAATAAAAGCATGTTTTCAAAAGTGTTTGAAAACGTAAGGTTACTATGTGTAACGTCGGCTCTCTGAAAAATGAGTGAGGTATCTCATTGTGGGAAGCGCCCTCTGGCGTGACCAATCACGGAACTCCACTACTACTACATCTTTCGACAGACTGACCAATCACCTGAGGTGAGCCAGCAGAGTGGTGTGGAGAGATAACTCACTCGGTTTTCAGAGAGCCCAGGTTACCATAGTAACCAAGCATTCTCTTTCAAACCTTGCTTGGCGTCTTACAATGGGAGATATAGTCCACTCCCGGACTGCATGCTCTGACGCCCAAAGACATCTCAGCCTGGGTCAGTCAACACCAGCTGCTCAACCCCAAGAACCGGAGCGCATCTCAGAGCCCAGTCTAAGGACTGAGCCACTGGTGAAGGTGCAGTCATGTCCAGACAGCAGAACCTAAAAAAATTGTGAGGGGAAGCCCAACTAGCAGCTGGGCAGATGTCCCTCATAGAAACATCTTAAACAGAGCAAATAAAGTAGCCAAATCTCTAATGGCATGTGCTAGCAGGTGTGCCGGAGGCTGCAGTCCCTGGCCCTCATCTTCTACCATAATAGCCTCCACCACTCAGTGTGACAGCCACTCCCTCTATATGAGAGGGAGCCCATGACCCCATGACACAAAGGGCTTTTTACTGCTCTTAAACTCCGTGGTCCTGTCCAAACAGATGCATGAAGGTAGTACAGGACAGAGTGAATCCGGCTCTTGCTCAGCAAACGTCATCATGAAAGGTCAGCAGCTCCAGCATGAGGCCACTATGAGAAGACTTCCTAACCTTAGGCACAATGGCAGGGTGAGGGCACAATATCCCTTTCTTATGGTGTGGAGAAAACTGCAATACAATGTAATTCACTTATCCTCTTTGTTGACGTCACAGCCAACAGCAGGATCAGTTTTAGCAAAAGCGCCTTTTAATCAGTGCACTCCAAGGTCTCAAAAGACAGCCCTGAGAGTGCCTCTAATACGGTGGGCAAATCCCAGGAGGGAACCAAAGGCTTAAGATGCAGGGTGGAGCCGCTGGTCTCTTCTCATGAACCTCCTAATCAGGGAATGCTGACCAACCAGGGCGTTACCAAAGCCCACATGGTATGCCAAGATGGCTGCCAAATACACCTTCACAGTGGAAAACGCTTTACTACGGTCTAGCAGATCCTTCAAGAAGAATATCACATGAGGAACATAACAAGGAAAAAAATAGTATTCCCTGGCAGCACCATTTTTTCACGCCACTTGCCATCATAAAGTAAACGTGTGATTAGTACCCTAGCACTATAAATGGTTTCATTCACTCTTAAGGTCAGAGTAACCTCATTTAAACAGAACCTCTCACATGCTATGACCAGAGAGCTAGCCATTCAGGATGTGGATGACGAATCTGCTTGTGCGCCTATGCAGTGGCAGCGGCTGAGGCTGGCTGTGGAACGGATCTGCTAGCTCTGCCATTTATGGCCTTTTGGGCCAATGTGGATCTATTAAAATCAAAGATAGCCAGTGTTCCCTCACTGCTCCTGTGCTGATGAAATAGGGCTGGGCAGAAGTACAGAGGTACGTTCTACCGTGGGTGAGCCAGCACGACCTCCCCTAACGATGCACCTTCTTTTCTTATTAAAAAGAACGGAGGGTACTGCACATTTACGTGCAATGTTAAGAGATCTACGGACGTCCAACCATCTTCCACACCTGCTTGAGCCTCCTCTCCCCATAGAAGTGATTCCCTCTCTGCAAAACATCAGGAATGTGCGTTGTATCTAACGGCAGCAGGTGCGTGCTGTTCCAAATAATCATTCTGTGGACCATTCTGTGCAACATTGGAGAGCGATACTCCTTCTGCTGGTTAATATATGCAGGTGCTGTCGTGCTGTTGGTCGTGATTATGACATGACAATATATCAGGAATTGGAAAAATGCTTCAGTACAAGAAAAGCCACCAACACCTCTGGGTAATTTATATGTGCACAACGGAGCCTTAGGGGGCCAGGTGCCTTTCAAGGCCCTTCCCTTGCACCCAGCCCCCCAACCTGTCAACGAAGCATCCACTGTCAAGGTGCTGCTCATAAACACCTCTCCCACTGGGACACCAGCAGTGAACACTTTAGGGTCTCTCCAGTGATGGAGAGGCAGCAGACATTCTGGGGAAATCCTCACCATAAGGCCGAGATGACGTTGCACGTCGAGCTACAGGGAAGACATCTGGTGCTGCAAATCTTTCATCCTCAGCTACCCCTGAGGAACAACAGAAATGACTAAGGCCATCAGGCCTGCCAGGCTCACACGAGGTCTTAACAAGACCCTGCTTTCCCTGCAGAACAAGGCAATGTGCTGGCAAAATTTCCCTATTCACTCGAGTGATGGAAAAGCTTGATGAGAAATACACTTGCTGAAGACCCGCAGAGGAAGTGATAACCCAAACGGTAGGATCAGATCCTTGTAGTCGGACTCACCAGGCTGCAGGAATTCATTGGCCACCTCAATTCAAATTTCAAATTTTGCAGCGGATTTGGATTGTGCAGTAACGCAGCACCCCCACCTCCACCCACTCCCACCCTCACTACAATTTACCACTGTAAATTAAATTAATCTTGTGGACAATTACACAGCACTGAGTGGAACATGGGGGTGCTGCCTGCTGAGTCTCTGTTTGCCACCACAGCTCCTAAATCAGCTGCCTGACACACAGTTTATTCATCTAATATCTTTTTATAATTCTAAATGAAGCTGCCGCCAGTTCATAATATGATGAATGTGTTCTTCCCATTAAACATTTAGTTGGAACAGGCATACAAAATAGTGCAAAGGAAAGAAGCCCGCAAGTGAATAGTATCGTCCCCCTGTGTAGATGCAGGAGACCTGGATTATGCAGTGATCCACTATGTTATAGAAGTCCCCTTCATGTAATATTTCATTAGCGGTTTAACATGCTGTTCTGAGATGAAGGGATGAATACACCACACGTGAAAGCAGCCGCTAGTTGGTGATAGGCTGGTTAGAAATTATGTGGGAATTTAATTTGTAATTAAAGGGAATTTGAAAGCTACATTCAAGTGCGTTGCAGTAATGTTGCGTTGATTCTGCTGATTAATGGCTGGATGGATGGAGTAAAGCCGCCTTGTCAGCCTCCAAAAACTCAAATACTCCTTTCAGACACACACTCAGTTCGAGGACAGTATAATATTATGACACATCATTTACATGTGTGGTGGAAAGATGAGCAAAACAAGACTAGCTACATATAGCTGCACATCAAACATTGTTAAATTTCCAATTTGACATGTAAACATACAAATTAAACAACATATTTAAGAAGAGAGCATGGTCCAACTGATCATAGAGAGTTCACCAATGTTCAGTAGTTTAGTTTATAAATAATAGTTTTAGAAATGATTAAACATAAAGAATGGTTTGATCTAAAATAGTAGACTAGAACCTTCACTTTCCACAGGTCTGAAAGCCAGTCAGGGTGCTTCTGGTGGCCATTTGGTTCTCTGTGGTCCTGATAGTGAGACAGAAGATGTGAGCCAGTCAGTTGACTAAGATGTGGCCCAATATTTATTGTGGATGTCCTCATCTACATGTGCACTGTGGAATCCTCTGAAGGTCCACCTTCTCGTGGCTTCCTCCTGAAAACACAAACTTCACACCATCCTGACCGACCTGGAAGGTGTTTTTTTTATTGGGTTTCACATCTGACCAGACATGTCCTGGTGTCCTTTGTTCTGCTGATCACAGTGGACCCTGTCTTCAGTCTGATAATTGTAAAGGTCTTAACTTCCAGAGCTACGGAACGGGAATGAAAATCTGCTTTTTCTTTTTTTTTTAAGTAATTTATGGCTGGTTGATTATACATGCAGTTTTTATTATTTTAAAACATGTGCTCAATCAGTTTGGAAAATTTCAAGAGCTTTGAATGTTTGAATGGAACAATAATGTGCAATGGTGTAATGTTATATTACTATGCAGCATAATAGCAGTTTTGTAGACATTGTTTTGAAAAGGTGGGAGAAAATCCATTTTAGAAATCCAACAGGATGCATTCTTCATTTTCATACTGAGATAACATACAATCAGTTTTTGCACAAACTTGTGACTTCTCAGCTTAAGTGCTGCTAAAACAGAAGGGCTCATAATACTAACGTGTTATACAGTTTGGGATTTTTTTTTCAGAGATTGAGCATTATTAATATTTATGATAGCAACTCCAACCCCTCTTGGCGATAGTGCACTAATCCTTTATCAAATATTATAAAACTTTAAGAAACAGTGAAAAAGAATTGTCGACATGGGGCTTTTATTCTGAAACCGTTGGAGGCTTCAGTAGAAATCAACTGGACTTCTGTTGTAGGTTCTCGACAGGGTTCTTCAAGAACCTACATAAACCTACAAGAGAAACCCAGTTGATTTTTACTAAAGCCCTTGAAAGAGTTCCTCAAGAACCTACAAGAGAAGTCCTGTTGAATACTAATGAAGTTTCCACGATTACCACGACTAAGAATCTTACACGGACATGCTTTTATTCTGAAGGACGGTGATCGGAACTCGGAAGTGCTGCTGTTCCTGTTGAGACCGTGTAGCCTCGGACTTGACTAACAGACGTACGTAACAGTGTCACACAACGTCGCTGTCCGTCAGAAGAAGGTAAAACACAACCGCTGCTGTGTAGTTTTGTACCGTTTGAGCTAAATGTGATGAAGTCAGTGTCCGTGTGTCTGCTGCTAGAGCTCAGCTGGTTGTAGCTGAATGTGAAAACTGTCTGTTTACTGTCGCCGGTTCTCTGCACAGTCCGAAAAGTCAAACGTGCTGCTGCTGTAGTTGATGTTTGGATTGAAGCAGGTTGTTTAAAGCTACCGTCTAAAGCCGGGCATGCACACTTAAATGAGTTTACTGAGGGTTAGTCGACCACGAGTTTTCATTTCAGTCTTCTTCCATTTGTATTTTTATCACTCTTAGCATAATTTATATTTAAACATGCATTATATATGTGTTTGAACCACTACATGACTGGCTGTAGACTCTTCAGGTTCTCTGCTTTCAAATTTTACCAAACCTATTTCTGCATTATTTAAAGAATATTCATGCTTTGTATCAACGCGGTCAGTCAGGTACTCCAGAGATGAATGTGCAGTTAATTCATTCATTCAGATTTTTTAAAAGAAGATATGACATCCTTTATCCAGTGAGCAAATGAGTGATGCTGACACAGGAACTGAAGGAGCTCAGAGGTCTGTGCTATGAGGATGGAACAGCAGGTAACGCAGGTTGAACCACAGCTATGACGGTGATTCACTTCTCATCCTGTCTACAGAAAAACTCAGCCAACCAACCGGTCACTTCTCTTTTAAAACAGCATCACCTCCTAGAGGATCCTGCAGACCAGAGAGTCTCTGTAGAGCAGAAACATTTGGAGATTTAAACCCTGTTTTTCCCCTGTCAGACTTAGACATGAGAGATTTAGGTTCTCAGCCGAGGGAACCGTAGTCTTCATTGCTTTTTTTTTTTTTTTTAACTGCAAGAAATTTCAAATCCTTGTTATTTTTCCAAAAGTTTTCTCCTTTGTGTGGGGACAAAGTTCTAAATCAGAGACTGATCAAACCACTAAGGCCCTGTTACTCTACTTCCTGGTTTGAATAATGCTTTATTTACTGCCAAGGTCGTTTAACACCACCAGGACAGTCGTGGAAAACATGAGGCTAAAGCTGTCTTACACTCCATAAGAACAGGAATACACAATTGTAATTAGTCAGATCTACTGATGACTTGATACCGGAGCAGTTCTATTGATAAGCCTGTTACCTTAAACAGTCACATAGTCTGCAGTTTTTTGAAACCTTTCCTGTTTTGGCTTTGGTTGAAGATGCTGTGCTGCTTTTTTAGCCAGTTAGTTTGTAGTTTGTTCTTCTTGTGAGAAGCATGCAGATTCTTGGGACTTATCCCTGACATGTAGCGTGGATTAGTCTGGGTCAGCATCTCACAGCTTGTTGCACAGTGCAGCAGCCTGTCTTCACATCAGACAGGTGAGCTGTCACACAGTTGTTCGGCTGTTTTCGGGCTATTCTGTCTTAGTTTATTAAATACCTGAAGCATCACACAACAGCAGGATCCATAAGATCATCTCTAAAGCATTAGAGCTGTGCACATTTACTACTGTTATTTTAGATTTAGTCTTCTGTTTGCGTGAATGAACCCATGAACAGCAAATGTCATCGCTGCCCCTTTAATGTAGTTAAATGGTTTGATGCAGAATCGCTGACTTGGTTGAACAGGTTTAGAACCCTTTTATGTGACTATATGTAGTGTGACTGTGGTTGTGAGACTCAGTGAAGCCAGATAACAAAAACATATTCTGGGTATGTTGAACCTGCTTCATAGACAGGCTCCTTGAGACACTGCTGAAAGTTTTCTGTTGCTTAATTGATTGTAGAAAGAAAGCAATAAAATTCTAGTGAGTCTGAAGCTGGACTTTTTGTTTGGTGTAGAGCTGGACAGTTGGACAGACGGCTGCACGACAGAATGAAACACCTGATAAACTAACAGTTATTCATATCACTATCAACAGGCCTTGTTTACCAGTCACACCCCGCCGCAGCCCTCAGCTACGTTTTGAACTCTGCTGTCCTGATTCAGTGATAAAGCGTTCTTGTTATTGGATATGATTTGTGTTTGCAGCCAATGAGAACAGTTGCGGTACTCGGAGGAGGGATTGGGGGTTTGGCTGCATCTTACTACCTGTGCAAGAACCCCCAGGTCACAAAGGTAACACACACACACACACACACACACGGTTGTGTTTCGTCCCTTCAAAGGACTTTGTACTGTATTGACTCACATACATTTCCTGAAGATTTGCTGTAACTCTGACTTTAATCACCACTTGTTTAACCTTAAAATATAACCGGACCTTCTCCTAACCTTAAATCAAGTTTTCACCGTTGAGTTTTAACGAACTCATTTTTCCTGTCCTTACATAGACATACGAAAAACAATTCAGAAAGAAAGTTCTATTGCCAGATGGCAGCTTTTAAAAAATGCTATCATACAGGACCTACTGAGGTGTAAAACTATGAGGAGGTTGGTTCACTTAGTTGTCCTTCTTTATACTTTTGGAATTCCCCGGGGTGGATACAAAGTCTTTTCTTGCTTCTAGGGAGAATACACTTCCTTATTCAGAAGAGAGAAAGGGGAAAGAAACGTCTTATAGTTGTAGTAAATTAATTTAATATAGATTGTACCCTGCGCACTAATTCACATGTTGGTAATCACCATGACCAACCCATAAACAACAATAATAATAAAAAATCCTGCTGCTGCTAAAAAGGTAATAAACCTTAGTTCAAATCATTTGAGACGTGTGCATGTATTTTCCAAAGTCTCACTTTCAGGATATGGATGTGTGACGTGTGCAGGTCTGTGAATGTTATCAGGAAGTGATGTGCAGATAAGACCTGGGTGGTAAAACTACAGCAGTATGTACTGGAGACACTTGTCAATCGAAATATGAGAAAAGTTTTGTTATAATTCATCAGACGCAGGACGTTACAAAAACACTAAATTTGGTAACATGTGTGTAAATGTATTCATAAATGTGTTTTTCATTGTTTGCTTTTGTTAATACTTTGTCTTAGTTTGTGTTGATATTCAAATGATTACCTTTGTGCTTTGATAAAAAGGCAAAACTGGTTAAATTCAAAGTAAGAGGGTTTTTGTGTAGGTAGAAAAAAAGGTAGACCTTTTTAGGTTGTTTTTTGTTAAAATACATGATTACAAATGAGCCATCGTTATTGATATTGACTGAAATAAAACATATTGTGATGCATTTTTCAACTCTGTCACCCAGCACCAGAGTCGGATGTAAGCTGGTTGGGTGTGTGTTAGAGTGTGTTTGTGTGTGTTGTTTTGTCTGTTAGAGGACGGGTAATGAAGCTGAATAGTGTGGCACGGTAAAAAGTTTATTTCAGTTGGTGCATTCGATAATTATTGGCAATTTTAATTTTATTAAGGGCCAGGAAAACAAAGGTTTATTTTGAATTTCACCACCTGACGTAACATGTACCTGCTTTAACCTATTTAATCAAGATATGCAGAATAGTTTTAATGTTAACATAATTAAAAACACATATGTTAAAAAAATGTAGATAAAATAATAAAGTAATAAAATAAAGAAAACAAGGAGAACCCGGTGTGGTACAGAGGTGACCAGGACAAAGCCTCTCCGTAATCAGAGGTTAAGATTCTAGCTGGGACTTGGTATCACGGCTGAGACCCACCACCGGTCTCTGTTCACATCCCAACATGAAACCTGTCAGCCTTTGGAGCACGCTGCCTTCAATACATTTTGGATTTCAGAAAGTACAGTTGCAAATTTCACCATCACCTTGTTCTTGAGAAACTCTCCACTCGTAAGGTCTCAAATAGGGAAGTTTCGAGGTCACCTCTGTGAGCTTTGTCCTTGAATCCAAATTCTGGCCTGCTGCATACGCACACAGATGTGCTTCTGAACATATCACTCATAGCACTTCCAGCTGACAATTTCCATCATCTGAAACTTCCTCAGTTCAGGGGAACTTTAAGGAAAGTTAAAGCAGATCTCTTTTATGACTGCAGAGGAGCTACCGGACGGTTGAGCTGACACTGTGCAGCACTGATGCACGAATAGAGTCTACATGAAAGAGTCATTAGAGGGAACCTCACCTGCCACCTCATCTACAAACTCAGTGTCTATGAAGCAACATCTGGATGAGCCTGAGTGGATTGAAAACAAATGCTGTGTACAAGTTAGACTTGAGCGCTTTGGCCACAATCACCCCAAATATATTTTTGGGCCATAACATTTATTTTGTCTACAGTGCAGGAGACATTTGAGATGAAAGTGGGGAAGGTAGAACATTCACAGTCGCAGTAGGAGTAGAGAGTTTGTCATCACAATAGAGGCACGTGTCCAGAATCAGAAAAACAAAAGAATGGAATCTCGATTATACTGACCGAGTTCTGGCTTTTGTCACAGGTGGTTCTTAAATATGGACTTGTAGTTATAGTTTAAATACTTAAACATTCTTTCATTCAAAATAATTAGCTTTATGTTTCTAAATACCTGCATGAAATGGAACCGATTAATAATTATTTAAGCTTTATTGATTTTGACGAGGGGCGTGCATTGTTCTGGACGTTAAAGTCCAAATGCAGCAGCAGGAGAGGTCGTCCTGTCACACGAGAGCAGCAACAGTCTCTGAAAATGAATTAAATGTATGAAATAATACATTCAACCACATTTGTGTTTTATCTATAGAGCTTTCTGTGCATGTTTTAAATTTATTATATGTCAATCCAGGTGATTGTTTTGGAGTCCAGCAGTCGTTTTGGAGGTTGGCTGTGGTCCACCAGGAGGTCCGATGGGGCGGTGTTTGAACATGGACCCAGGGGAATTCGACCTGCTGGGGCAGTGGGACGCAACACACTCAATATGGTGAGTTTTTATGACATTAACATACTGTAAAGGATATAATCGGGACAAGATACAAGATCCTTTATTGAGCCCCGTTCAGTGAATTGGAAGACTCTCATGTCTGCAGAGTGTCTTTAAAGCTTTTAGTTCAAAATACTGAAAGATGGTTCATGTCATCACGACTGTATAAACCCTGTTTTTAGCCCCTTTTCTAAACAGGTTGACTGTCTGTAGCTCTGAGAACCACTGACCTGCTGCTGTTGCCCTTTTAGGAAGAACTCACTTTAGTTAGAAAACCAGCTGAGCAGGGCAGCTAACAGACACATGTATGTCTCACATGTATGTACCAGAGGGCTGCACCACGAATCAAGTTCAACATAGTCAGGCTGTCTTTGTGCAAGTCGGCTCAACAGAAACTAAAACCCCAGTCAGAGAAACAGGTATCATGAAGGTGGTCTTTGTTAACTCAGGCTTTCTGCTTTAAACTGAGGAGAAAAGGGGACTTTTCCTCTGTCATGTGACTTCTTCTGCACTAAATGCACCAATAGTGTCCCACCTGCTTCAGTCAGCAGGTTGTTTTAATGTAGAGCTACAAAGAATATAAAGTGTATGATGCTACAAAGCGCTGCTTAAGCTGTTTGAGTGAGCCCAAAGATCCAACAGTAAACTACTACTTTTTGGAGACCTTCAAAGATAATATGATTATTAACAAGCTGTGTGTTTGTGTGTAGGTGGATGATCTGGGTCTTGGCGGGGAGATTCTGCCAGTCACCTACAGCCACGTCGCCTCCAAGAACAGATATCTGTACGTGAAAGGACAGCTTCACAGGATGCCTTCAGGAATAAGGTGAGGGTGGTCAGAAGAGAATAGTCCTCGGCTAGATAGTTGTAACTGAATCAACAAAAACTGACAGGTTTTAGTACTTTTTAAAATTCTAGATGCAGTTGTTCATGTAGATAGAACATCTGTCTTTAAGATGCTATGAGCGGTTCTGTTTGATTGGCTTTAGATTGTTCTTGTGTACCTCACAAAGTAGCTGCTGGTCTTATTCTCATTAGTATGTAAAGGAACGTATAATAATACTTTATGTAGAATGTCAGTTAAAATTCAAATATCCAAATATGTGTTCACGACACAAAAACAGTGAGAAACATTCATACAGCATTAAAATTAAAGTGCTGTAGTTTAAACCTGCAGCGCTGTGACTTGTCTCCCCCGTCTGGCAGCAGGCCGAACTACACAAACACTGTGATGCTTGGTGGTTTTTTTCACTGTAGGCGCCGCCATCCTCCAGTTATTGCAGGTTGAAGGAAAACACAGCGTGGGAGTGATGCCCCAGACAACACATTTAAAACCTCGATATGCTGCAAAACAGAGAGCGACAGGCGTCTTTAGCATTGTGTGAACTTGTTTAGCAACAGTTTGCATACACAGGGTTGTTGATTTATATGCAAAAGTCCAGCACTGCAGCTCTTAATTATATATACTGTATATCATATGCACGTACGTGCTGTGTCTGGGTCATTTAACTGGAATGTTGAGACATGTTTCTGAAATGACAGAGTTAAAGCAGTTAAACTGAATATTCCCAGTGGTATTAAAAGTTTAACATTTTAGTAGAAGATGTACCGGAGCCTCAGCCTCACCTGTCGAACGTCCTCCATCTTTTTTCTTTAGTGGCCTTGTGCGGACAGTCCCACCCTTCTCTCGCCCAATCCTCCTGAGTGTTGCTTCTGAGATACTGGTGAAAAAAGGCAAAGAGGACGACGAGTCCATCCACTCATTTGTTTCTCGGAGGCTTGGAAAAGAGGTGAGGAGAACTCTCAGATCTTTGTCAGAAAGATCATCATTCAGATTTTTCTGTTGTCAAATCCAGTTGTAAAACAAGCATTATGTAGGATCCAAAGCAAAAGCTGCACTGAATTATAGATACACTGTGTGCACTAAACAACAGTCGTTAGATTGTCAGCTTCATTAAAGTTGTATCTGACGTACAAAACCTCATCGTGAATTCATCTGTTGTTGGGTTTAAAGTCCTAAAAAGACATTTAAGTTTCAGTTTTATTCTTAACACAATACTGTGTTAGTTTTAGTTGAGCTCAAGCTTTAGGATCCATTTTTATAAAAACTGTGGGTTTTAAAATGTTAGAATTAAGTATGTTTCGAGCTATTATGTATTCTGAATCTGTATTTTGCACTGAGCCTATGATTCTGTTTCGTATTTTCCTACTGAGAACAGCATACGTCCTTGAAGATAATATGGCCGGTGAGAACCGGTTTGCATACTTGGAGACAGCGGAAACTCCTCTTTTTTATTAGATACGATTGTTACTTTAGCTACACGCCGTACCAACAACATCCACACACGTTGCTTACCAAATGTCAAGGACGTGGACAGAGCGTAGAAGTATGCCTGTCCACGCCATCAGTAACTGGCCAATTAAATCTTATCTATGTTCGGGGCAGGCCCAGCCCAAGAAGATATCTGTAACCTGGAACCGAAAACACTCAGTTCAGCTGGACATGAGATTCCTCTCTGTCCCTCTGAATTCCAGCGCTGCAAAACTTTACCTGTGGCCTAAATAAATTCTGCATCTGAGAACTGAAGATTTCTCCGGCTTATTCTTGGGCTTCCAACCAAAGAATCGGATCTAACAATTTCTATCACTTGGAGGCAAGTTTGTAAAGAATGTATAGAGCTGGACAGCAAGAGATGTTCTGTCTTGTCTTGTGTATGTAAATAAAGTGATTCCTGTTATTGGGTCCTTCCCTCCTCTGTCATTATTGGAAGAGATTTACTCACAGCCAGGATGACTGGACGGATATTTAGTGACCAAAAGTCTTAAAATGTTTAAATGGCATCAGAATGTTAGATTCACTTTGGTAACTATAATTCTTATATTGACGGCTATTGTGTTGTTTTTTCTTTCTCTATGTGTGTGTGTGTGTGTGTGTGTGTAGTTGGCAGATATAGCTGTGGACAGTTTGTGTCGTGGTGTGTTTGCAGGGGATTGTAGACAGTTGAGCGTTCGCTCCTGCTTTCCTCCTCTCTACAAGGCAGAGCAGCGCAGAGGTTCTCTGATACTTGGAATGCTGCTGGGCTCAGGTACTCTGAACACTTATGACACTGTTGGTACTTCTCTGACCAACTTTTTGTTGTGGACGTCACGTTCCTGTGCCAGAGCCAGAACAAAGATCATAGCTATGAAGCAGCCAAATAGTTTTGTAGAACCTGGTGTTTCAAACAAACACAGCGAGGCTGTATTCAGCTGCTGTTGCTTTATTTCCTCTCGATTGCGTTTTAAATGGTTTTAATACTTTTTGGCTCGTGTGAAGCACCTCGACTTACCGTGTCGACAGTCTTTAAACCACAGAACCCTGTTTAATTTGAATTAAAATTGAATTTCCATTAATGCCAAGAGTAATTGTTTGAGTCTTGTTTCCTTCGTTGTATCCTCATTTCCTTCCTTGTATCCTTTCTTATTTCCTCATTTACTTCCTTGCTTCCTTCCTTAATTCCATCGTTCTTTCCTCATTTCCTTCCTTGTTTCCTTTTTTCCGCATTTTCTTCCTTGTTAGCTTCCTTGTTTCCTCATTTACCTCCGCATTTACTTATTTACTTGGTCACGTCCTCGTTTACCTTCTCCTTTATTCATTTCCTCGTTTACTTTTTTATATATTTCCTTGTTTACTCACTTCATAATTTACTTCCACGTTTATGCCCTCGTTTCTTGATTTACTCCCTCATTTACTCATTTCCTTGTTTACTTCCTCATTCAGTCATTTCCTCTTTTACTTTCTCATTCACTTCCTTGTTTACTTCCTTGTTTACCTCCTTGTTTACTTTCTCTGTAATTTCCTCATTTACTTCCTTGTTTACTTGTTTTTTTTTAACTTATTTACTTTGTCATTTACTCTCTCTTTTACTCGTTTCCTCATTTCCTCGTTTACTTCTTTGTTTACTCTCTTGTTAATTTCTTTATTTACGTCCTCATTTAGGTCTTTGTTTACTCCTGTTTTTTCTTGTTTACCTTTTCGCTTACTCCACGTTTTCTCATTTCCATACTTCATGTTTATTTCCTCGATTCTTTTTTACGTCCTTGTTTCCTCATTTACTGCCTCATTTACTAATTTTCTTTCTTGTTTGCTTCTTCGTCTACTTGTTTTCTTGTTTACTTTTTCGTTTAGTCATGTACTTCCTCATTTACTTGTTTCCTCATATCTAGTTTGTGTCTGTGATGTGTGCTATTAATGGACTAAAGTTGTGTGTTTGAAAACCTGCAGGTCCGACTCCGGTGGTCTCTCCTGGCCCTCTGGCTCAGAGATCCATAAACGAGTCGTGGGCCCAGTGGTCTCTGAGGAGGGGAGTGGAATCCCTCCCAGAGTCTATCGCTGACTACCTACAACAGAGCGGGAAAGTGGAGCTTCACAAAGAGGCAGCTGTTAAACAGATTCGTCCTTCAGCGTCTGGTTGGCAGGTTGGTGAGGAGGTCACAGACAACTAGTACTGATGTGACACTAAGATTTAGCTGCATGTTGTGTCTCCCTTTGTCTGCAGAGCTTTATTACAGAAATTCTACATTTTAATAAGTCAGCTTTCTGAAATGTTTTTACACCATCTTTAGTCATTTTAGTGCCAGAGATCAGGGTGTGAGTCAAGAGTCTAATATCTCATTAGCCAAGTGAGCTGCTGTTAACTTGTACTAAGTCTCACACTTCGTAAAAGATAACGTATGTTGTCTTTGAACCACTGATGTTTCCTCAAACAAGAGCAGATCTAGAGCAGCTAATTAGTTCCAAACATTACAGTTGTTAAGAGGTCACATTATTTACTGAGTTTTTCATTTTTTATCTACTGATTTCTTGTTCTCTCTCTTACAAGTTCATATTTGACACCTGCCTTTTTGACAGTTTGCAAGCAGGCAAAAGTTAAAATTTCAGTGTGACTGAAGTGAAATGACACATCTGCTCAATGGACACTAAGTTTTGTACAGACATTCACGGTTCCTTGACAGTGAATTCCACTGACTTTGCTAAACTCCTGATTTTTCGTCTTTGCCACCACGAGGTTCACGTGTGTGATTTTAAATAAAATGTCTCAACAACTGTTGGATGTATTTCTGTCAATATTGCTGCACATTGGTGTCACCTTCAGGATGAACTGACACATTTTTTATTCTATTATTCCAATAGTTTGGTTCATTAAAACATTACACCTGCTAAACATAAAGATTTCCAAGCAAAGTGTCCAGGCTGAAAAATAAAAACATGTCGGACAGTTCACTTCTGTTTTGTTGTCTGTCAGTTTGGATAATACGAGTGTGTAACTGTGTGTGTAGGTTCATTTGGAGGATGGAGTCGTATCAGCTGACCACGTCATCTCTGCACTGCCTGCTAAAGGTAAGTGTCATTACTGGAATGCTTGTCTGACATAAAGACCCTCAGCTTTCCTGATGAACAACAGGAACTCCTCCTATCTTCCTTCAGGAAAGCCTTCAGTCACAACACGCTGAGGCTCATGTTGAAAGAGTGAATTTAGTGTAGCTGGAAAATAGATTGTGAAAATGTTTTCTGGATTTTAGCCTAAAACTTAAACTGTTCACATTTTATATTTGCTCCTATAAAGTAATAAAACAATATTTTGTGTATTTATCTACACTCGTTTCCTGAAATACCAAATGTTTCAGATCTTTTTTTAAACACAATTAATCTACAAGAAAAATACCATAGGAAGAAAACTATCTTTTTATTTCACCATCACTTGTGTCCTCCCAGCCCTTTCCTCAGTCCTGCCTCCGTCCTGTCAGCCGCTCATCCAGCAGCTGCAGGACGTTTCCTCGGTGACTGTTGCTGTGATAAATCTGGAGTACGAGGGTTCCGTCCTGCCTGTCATGGTGAGAGCTACAAATAAACACACTGAAGTTTGTTTTTGACTTGTGAATGCTGTCTGGCCCATGAAGATTATCAGTTAGTGAATTTCACTCACATGACGCACAAGCAAATTCATAAACGCATCTATGGAAGAAAAAAAAACCCACTGAAGTAGCACCAAACTGTCCTCTCCTGTAGAAGCATTATCCACCTTCTAATAGCCCAGTGATCCGTCCTCAGTTTACAACGGAAAAGGCAAACAATTACACATAATATTGTCTTTGTGTGGTTTAATTGTTCATTATTAGGATTTTTTTGCTACTTACACAACAAAGGAAGCTCCCTGTTGAGATTATTTTTAAAAAATGATTCTGATAATGTGATACCTCTGATGAAGTCATATTTTCAGTGTTAGTTGTTGTAGAGCTCTAGCAGTGACAGAACTGACACTGACATACAACCACCTCTGTCTCTATGTGTTGTCAGGGTTTTGGTCATCTTGTTCCTTCGTCAGAGGATCGGGGTTTACTGGGAGTGGTCTACGACTCTGTCCCCTTCCCTCAACACAACAGACCTGACGGACAAACAACTAGACTGACGGTACACACCCACTCCTCTGTCTCTCCCTAATATATGTGTTGTGTTGTGATTCATCCCGTGTGGAAAATGTGTTGCTGAAAAGTCTGTTGTAATTTAACACAAAGTGGATTCTCAATGCAGCTCAGCTGCTTATTTCTAATGTGACAGCTGCACACTGTCGCTGTTTAACTTTAGATTTCAAACATGATATTAAAGAAGTGTGTTTAGGTCTGACACTGTCCCTCAATGAAAGCTACGTGGAAATTCTTTTAGTTTTCAGGCAAATCAAAGTGAAATTAATGTTATTAGTTAAATACTCTGATAAATACCAACAGCCTGATCACTTTTATAATCACATATTTATGCCTTTTCTGTGTTACCAACTAAATACATGAAGGTTTCTATTTCCATGGCAACACAATGCATGCAGTGAGTGCATGGCTTCATTCACATGACCATGTCTTTCAGGTGATGATGGGTGGGGCCTGGTTCCAGGAAGTGTTTGGGTCCCCAGAGGCAGTAACAGAGGAGCAGCTTCTTGCGAGAGCCACCGAGGCGGTGCGCTGCCACCTGGGAGTCACCACAGCACCCAGCTGGAGCCTAGTGGCTCTACACAGGGTAGGACAAGACTGTCTGAGTGAAAAAGTAGTTTGCTTCATTATTAGTGTTTGAATTCTTAGAAATTGTGACGTTAGATATTTTTTACCAGTCAAATACTGTAAGTCGTTTCTCCAGCCACAAACATTGCACACTGACTATATTATTGATGATCCCTGGTGTTCTCCTCATCAGGACTGTATCCCTCAGTATTATCTAGGACACTTTTTGAAAGTTGGTGAGTATTGATCAATACATGACATCTAAACATTCTACATTCACAAGGTGTAGGAAAACACTATTTTAACAATTGTTTTTCAACCTTTCCAGAGTCCATGCGTAGCTTCATAAGGGAGAATAATCTGCCGCTGTCTCTGACTGGGTCGTCCTACGATGGCGTGTCGGTCAATGATGTCATCTTTAGTGGACGGACGGCTGTAGAGGAGTTGTTGGGAACTGGAGTTTGAAGGAGCTTGTCACTATTCAAACATGTCAACAGTAAGTCAATCAGTTATGTAAATAAATACTTTAAAGAGCTGTAATTAGTAAAAGAACCATTAATCCAACTATATATGCTGTTAAAGGTGCACTTAAAAGTCGTTTTTGCTTTCCCAGTACAGCCTCCTGTATACCAGCATTTCAAATCGGATGCTGTATGCATAAAGCACACATGGAGAGACCAGTTGATGGACATGAACACCTGCAGCTTTTCTACCTGAAATGCCTCCTACTTACCAACAAGCAGACGTCTCAGGTTGTTGCTTGTCGTATGAGCTTGTGAGGAAAAGTGCAGTCACTGACGTCAGCTGTAGGGGTTTAAACAACTCAAGATGTGTCTGGAAAACACCAAGACTGCTACATGACGCGTCTGAATGTCTCATGGCCAAGCTGCTTCAGTATGTGCATGCAACAGTTGGTCTGCTCATACCAGGATTCTAGGCCCTAATAGAACTGTGCATCATTTTAAAGCAGATGATTACACATGTTGTGGTTCTGTAAATAGAATTTGCCTACAGATTTTAAATTAAAGCCTTATTGTACTCTTGAGTTCTTTGTCATGTTCTTTTTTTGGTCACTTGTCATGTAGTCGTCAACCCAGTTCTGTTACTGCCTCTCTGATGTGTGTTGTATGAACAGAACAGTTCTGTAATGGAGAACTCTGAGGCAAACTTGTGACTTTGGGTCATTCAAATCAGTGTTCCCAACTTTACGGTACTTTTCATCTCCACTCGACTCCAGATTGAGTGATTAAGTTAAGAAAACCAAAAATATTGTTCAGAGTCTGACATTTTACTTGTGACATATGGGATATTGGATTGACTCTTCAGGTCTGTAAATGTTTACGAACTGATAGCAGAATTAGTTCTGACTCAGATTTCAATGTGAAAAATGGACTCGGTGGTAAATGAATAATGACCATATCAACAACTTAAAAATGGTGGGTTTATTTGAGGAAGAAAAACACAAAACAAAAGTTAACACCTGTTCAACCTGAGACAAACTCCAGACTGGACAGGTCAAAATAAGAATAAAGTTCTCACACAGCGTCGTCTGTCCCCTGGTGAGTACAATAAAATTATCTGAGGCCGAGTTTCTTCTTCTCTTTCTGTTTCTTGCGGACCACTTCAATGTTGCGGTCCTTCCACATGCTCTTCCTCAGTTTGATGGGTCGACTCCCAACGTATTTCCCTGGACAAACGGGGAACACAAGAGTGAGACAGATACAAGGAGGCTGTCAACTCTGTGACATCAGTGAACATACAATTATAAAATGTGACAAATTCACATCAAAAGTGCCATTTACAAACACAACACCAAAAATGTTGGTCAAGACTTCAACACGTCTGTAAAGCGACTGACCGTTCATCTCTCTCATGGCTCTGACGTAGTCGTTTGGATCTTTGAAGCTCACAAACCCGTAGCCTTTGGTTTTTCCTGTCCGTTTATCTCTGACCACCTGAAATCGCATCGTTTCATTTAGTCTCAGTATCCACAACATACAGGCAAATTCCAGGTCTTTTGGAATAGTGTGAATAATCACAGATGACAGCTGTTTGGCCACAGTAACAGTCTGACATGTCTGGCACTGACCAGAGAGAGCTTTTCTGGAAACCGGTCTCTTACAAGCTGAAGTGGAAATGCTGTGGTTAGGGGTTGTTGTGTGACATCAGGTTCTACGACTTCTACATCATATGAAGAATACTCACAGTTAATGTGAGGCCATTTGTTTAAAAGCTAAAGTTGACACACTGGTCAATGCCTGCAGGATGCCTTAATTCTTTCATACAACTGTATGTCATCACATTTACAATCACTTATGTGTCTGATGAAGAAAATATTGTAGGAATTTTCAGGAACTATGTCAAAAACCGAGAAAGACCAAGATTTAGAAGAATCAGATGAACAGAAAAACAACCAAACCTTAGCTTTGAGGAACGATGGGTATCTGCTGAAAGCTCTGGCCAGTATGTCGTCGTTGACCTCGTTACCAAGATCACCACAGAATATACGGAAATCATCTGCAACAAGGAGACAATGTTAACTTCATCAGAAGGTACTCAATACAAAAAGCACTAAAATGACCATGGCTACTAAAAAAACAGTCTTTTCTATTTTTGCATGTTTTTTGTTCCAATTTGAACTCTGTAAACATTCAGCATTCTGAATGTTTGGCTACTAAAGGATGCAGCTACGTGACATCCAACGTGTGAAAGAATTTAAAACCATCTAAACATGACCTCACACAGACAATCCACCAAGCGCTGGTAAATGTGTGAGGAGCTACAGCTTTGTTTTCCAAACACTTGCCCAGTAACACAGAACTCCGTGGTAGGAACAGAGGATATTATTTTATGATTGTGATGCTGTCTTTGCAAGGAAATTTTTATTTGAAGTGTAATTGTTAGTGACTGTTACTCAAGCAGCATATCGTTGTCGTATCATCTCTAGTCTCTGGAGCACTTTGTACCTGAATCCCACTCCAACAGACTAGCGTCTTCCCAGCTGGTGCCTGCTGCAGTACGGATACATTTCTTCACCTTCTCAGACTTTGCTTTCTTTTTGTCTTCTGTAGCACTTTCCACAGGCTGGAAGACAGACAGAGAGAATCGTCATATACTGTCTTTATCTGTGTATCCTCAGTAGATAGAATTGGAGGTGAACAATATAATTGCATCCCTTCCTTGCTCTGTGTGCCATTGCAATATTTTATTACATTACCCTAGATCCACATGACAAGTACCTTATGGTCCATCCACCCTTTGCATTATACATTTATTGCCCCCTACTCCTTTGGAATATGTGACAAAATACAACCAGTGGCTCCGAGTGCAGCTGCTCGGCCTGGCTGCACTGGCTGTGAACGGGGATGCTGTTGCTGGTGAGACTCTGGTTTCATTTATGGCTGAAGCAATAAGGATGTGTCTGAAGTAGACACACTGTGAGCACGCTTCACTGCTTCTATGAATCATAAGCCAAAAAAGCAGGACGGCCCCACTGCATTGGAACTCAACATGCTTCTATCACATAGAACACGTGTCAAAACTATAGGAGTTCAAGAAGCTCATGAACATAGTTTCTTCAATCATTTCTACCAACTTTATGCTATTTGTGTTATATTATAAATTCATGTATGAGAAACCAGAGAAAACTGCCGATTGCCACCAAGGCTACTGTTTGGGTTTAAGGTTTACAGGTTCCATTTCGGCATCTCTGAAGATGAAACCTTTATATCTTTAGTCTGTCTCTTTATGGAAAATCTAAGTTTTTAACCCTTTCTCACACTGAAAAAGGATGATGCAAAAAAAAAAAAAAAGGGGTTTGTGTACAACCATGAGGAGAGGACGGACACCATATGGCTAAAAGCATGTGGACACAACTGGTACAACAGTGTTTTCAGATGTGTTGTGCAAATTCACCTCAACGTGGGGGGGCTCGGGCTCAGGCATACTCGGCCCGATGATGGCGCCGCTGTCCTCGCTCTCCTTCTTGTCGAGTAGACCTGCTGCCATGACTGCTGCCTGCTGTTCTGCCACGCGCGCTGCCAGTTCTTCCTGAAAGATCCAAATCAGACACATTCATACGGGCTCACAGATGGAAACCTAATGCTGCGCCACAACTTTCAGATTCAGTAACACGCAAAAACCTGCATCCCCGACAAAACTAACACGTCACATAGTTAGCGTAAAGGCCTGTTTGTACGTCTCAAGCACAGATTAGTGCAAGGACCCTCTGTGAGTTATTAGGACCCACATATTGACAGATTTCAGTGACGTAGCTCTCGTGGAACATTACTGGTGAACTCTGATGTGTCGTTTTTAAAGAGGACGTTGTTGTAACTTGAATGTATATATAACTTGACATGTATGGCAAAGTCCTGGCATGAAAACACCTCCATACCAATATTAATTTACTGTCACTAACTAGCAAACAGGAAATCAGCCTAAAGTGACAAACATCATCCAATTCACAAGAAATGTACACAGCAACATGAAATACATTCACTGGGTGTTCTCTGATGCCAAATAGTGGAAACCAGGAGTGATCTGCAACATCCAGTAATAGTCCAGGCCTGAGGACATCGACGTGCCCTCAACAAAACCATTCCACTGTGTTGCACAAATACACAAGAACCTAATCATCATTGCTTGTAGCTTAAATTTCCTATATTAGTCTAATCTTCCCTTCTAAAGTGGAGCCTAAGAAATACTCTCCAACACAAAAGTACCTTTTTAGTGGTCATACACTGACAACAATGTAAATACCATTCTGGCTTGTCTCTGAGCCCGAACATCATTTCTTTTATGTCCAATATGAGCAGGAGGAGCGGAGTACACGGTCGGAGCTGCCTGGATGATGGACGGTGTTGTTTTGACAGGAGGCAGGGGTCCATGTCTTGCCGGAGGTGCCGACACCATAGAGACCATATCACCGACCTAAGGGAGACACACCAAACACACACAGAGAGACACGCAAACTTAAGACAGGTAAGTCACAAGACAACACATGTGGAAAATAATTAACAGTCGTGTTGACACAAAAGAGAAATTGAAGGTAGAGTATGCCATTCCTAAGAAAGTTTGTTTATATTTTAACTCAACAGCTAAACAAACAGCCTTTTCTTCAATGCTCCATCTGAAGCCTCACATTCATGGATGCATATTGCCATGGCAACAACACTAACAACTGGGCTTGTGACCCAACAAAAAACATTTCAGCCTTTCTTGTAAAAGTGGATGTCTCTCTCTTATAGCTTCAGCAAAGCAAACATTATATTGTAAGACAAAGCATCATTAAATGAACAACATGTGAGCACATGAACACAGAATTCACTCTATCCTCCAGAAAACATGCGATAACATGTAAGGATTCACTGGGCTGTAGTCTCTACAGTATGCCTTACCACAAGAAGAACGCCCCCTGTTGATGGCTGGCTGGAGCAGTGTTGTGTGAACTGGTGTGATTAGAATGTCTCACTCAACCTTTAAGTGTACCCTGGTATCATCCCTCGTTAAAGGCACTGACATTATCACAGTAAGACATTAATGCTGGACACATCGACTGATGTGGAGGAACATCTCCTGGAGATCTCAGCACAACTATTGTTGATTGTTGCATTAACAATGTTTGTGCTTCGTTCACTTCTGACCTGAGGTGCAGCCACTATATGCTGGATGGGATGAGAAGGCCCCTGAGGTATCTGGCCCTGCAGGGAAGACGGGAGCACCATAGGAGGTGGAGGAGGAGGCCGGGGCAGAGGAGGGGCTATTGGAGGACCACGCATCACCTGCAGCCTCTGACCACCTAACGACAAAGCGACAGAAGATCAACATGTACCAATCAGTCACAAGGATTGTTAAATTCAGTCACATCACAGACCCAAAAGGTAAGAAGGCAAATTCCCATGAAAACAGCACCTACTAGAGCTGGGACTAACTGACTTTTCACGTCAATAGTTTTAACATGAAAAAAGAAATGTAATGACTCACACACATCCTTTTATACTTTGAGATTTAATGAAAATATATGTTGATTATCTTGAACATATTTATGGGAAGAATTTGTGGAGTAAAACTGGATGGACCATTGGACCTTAGAGTTTCCAGCTGGGGTTTGGGTTTATTTAATTTGCTAGCAAAGCTAACCCGATACACAGCAACAGGCTTATTCAAGATGACCTGTGCCTCACCTGGTAAGAGGACAAGAGCAGCACCAGATAACAAAGGGAGGAATCAAAGTCAGCAGTCCAAATGAACAGTTTTAAGTAACTTGTACAGGAACACACCAATTTATCAAAACGTTCTTTGACACATGAGTTGAGGGCTGAAATATCTGTTCAGATGTTATTTTAACAATCCTCACCTCCCATTTACCAGACGTTTTGGTGTAATTTAATTCTGCAAGAACTAAATCCGCCTAGTGTTAGTATACAGTAGACTAGAACTATGTATTGTATGAATTGTATGGTCTGTAATCTTTATCTGTTCAGCCTCTCTGACTGATAAACATCAGTATAACCATCAACACAGAAGTGTGTCAATGATCGTCTTCTGAACAACTTTCAAGTCTGCAGTCTGCCGCATGTTTGTGGTTGAATGTAATGAACGGCACTGAGAGATAAACAGTATTTCACTCAAACTCATATTTTGAGATTTTTTAATCTGTAGGCCATAATTACTGAAAGAGAAAAATGCTTGAAAACACAATAAGTCTAGAATATATACATTTTTTCCTTCCTAAATAACTGATTGAAAATCTATAACTTTTTACCAATATTCTAAAAGTTTGAGATGCTCTCGTACATCCTCAGTAACATCCACGGACTGTAAAACATGCAGTGTTCAGTCACATCCTTGAACCAGAGTGCTGTTGTCATTATTCCTGAATAAATCACTAAACTCAGTCTGTTGGTAATCTCACCAGGTCTCTGCAGGATATGCGGGACAAAGGCTGGTCTCATCATGGGAGGCGGAGGTTGACGTACTGGAGGAACTGGGACAGTCACAAGTCAACACAGTGAGTGTAAATAACGTATTCAAAAAGGCACAGCATGACGGCAGCAGTTTGGGCTATAAGCCGCAAATGTTAACTGAAGCAACTCTTATACGTTCTAAACTTCAGTCTTCACATAAATGAACGTGTCCTGCTTCGGAGACTGATGTGACACACCACGTAATATGTGAATGACTTGTTTTTAGGCAGCTTTCCTTCCTCTTTGAATGTTACACAACTATTTGAAAGATATCATCATAGATAGCGACTGAATGTATTCAAAGAACTATTTGGACTATAACCTAGATACAACACAAACCATTTGATTTGGTTTGTTTCCATTCTAACTATGTGAGCATATTGAGTCATTATTATTGTGTACAAAGTCATGAGCGGGCAGTAAGTTAACAACCCTAATTTTAAATGATTGTGAATGTTGAAGGTACGTTCTACCTGCTAATGCACTACTTAGCTTACGCATGTGAAAGTGTATTCTCACCTGGTCCCACAAAGGCCGGTGGTGGAGGACCAACAAAACTAGCAGCTCTGGCTTCTAATGTCTGCTGGACCTGTGAGAGGTAGACGGAGTGAGAGAGACAGAGATACAGCACAAAGAGAGACAGAAGACAGAGTCAGTGTTGGTGGCAGAGAAATTCAAAATCAAGACACCTTCATTGTCAGTGGCTCAGTTAGTTTTTATCTGTACAGGTCATATAAACTCAGCCATTAAGACGAACACATCCAGAACATACCAACCTGTCTGTAGGTGTTGGTGCCAATAATGGGTCGCACTACTGGAAGCGCTGTGACCGCCAGAGCTACAGGTACTGCCTCCATGACAGGTGGGCTTCCCGATACCGGTACTGGGCCCCCAAGAACCTCCTGCTCAAAACTACAGAGACAGAGTGGCATCATCACAGTCAGCGGGTTTTAGGTGGATCAGGTGAAAGAGAATAAATCTGAAAGTGGTAAAAAAGGAGAGTTTTCTGCTCATATTAAAAACAAATGGTTTTTAGTAAAGACACAACCTGCAGAAATGAGCTACTTTTCACAGCCACTAACGGTTAGAGCTAAGCTAGGAAGCAGCAACAAATTACCCCAAAACATCTGCTAGAAAATAATAACAAATAATGATATAGTTTAACATACGGGCCTTAGTGGGCAATAAAAGTGGTAGAGCAATGAAAGATGGATAAACAGAAACAAGGAGCAGGTATAACAGCAGGAGGCGGCAAACAGTTTGAACTCACTAAATCCATCTCACAGTAAACAGGACAGCAAGTAGCAAACTAATTCAAGTTTATCACAACACAAGGCACTTCTTCACCACAACTCCTCACCATCATTTAAATATAATCTTTCTACAAATAATTATAATTTATACACATGCACATCACACTTGAACATAACTTGTTATGACCTACAGTGACCTCTTATGCAATATTCCTGCAATATTTTAATCTAGTCATGGTTTTCCCTGACGGAAAGAATTTCTTGTAATACACCTGATCTGAGCTGAGTTGTGTAGTTTGTGCATCTTCACATCAATATATTAATAATCTGAGAAAATAAAAGTACGTGATGTGAGCAGCAGAGTCTAGTATTCACCATGCAGCTCCATTAAAGACCTGTGATTTAACAGCTGAAGTTATGGTTGTACTTGCATATGACACCAAACACAGTTTACCCAGGAGTCTTGGTGTTGGTTCAGCTGAATTGCTCTACAGGATTTCTGGCTATGGTACTGCTGCTAGATACCATTTATGATCAGTTAAAAACTTTGTGTTATCGAGATTTGGGTGAACAGAATATGTACTTACAGAGCCATCTCAGCCTCCATCTCCTTCAGACGCTCCTCTCCCGACTTGAGTGCCATGCTATGAGACAAAACATTGATCAAAGGTGTCCAAAATTAGCAAAGTCACCAAACAATACAACAACTAAATACTTATACACAAGAGATAAAACTGTATAATTGCAAAAGGACCTACTACAATTCCATTATTTAAGTAATTTAGACCCACATTATTAACATTAGTAGCTGACAGGTTTTCTGAATCTAGCTCGGTGCGTTTACATGAAAGAGGCGGCCAAGGCACCAGATGATCAATGACAAACATGGACATGTCTACTGGCAAATTATTTAACGAATACATAAAATCAAGTCATAAAAATAAAACTATTTTCATGGTGATGTTAAACGGTTTTGGTACCAAGAAAAGAACAGTAAAAACATATTTTAAATCGATAAGTTGGCTTATTGCAAATCGTATAAGGTCACCAAGCAAGCTACAGGGCATTAGGGTTTTGATCAGTTTCTGTTTTAGGAATATGTCGCTCAACAAGGGCGTACAGACTGTTGTGTTAAATGGGAGCAAGTAAAGCAAACACAAAAACACAATTCAAATGGATACGTAATCCTAATTCACATCAAGGCTTTAGTGTTTTAATCGGTTTCTGTTGTTGGACAACATTGCTCTACAAAAGTACATAAAACAATAATGTGGCTTTATAACCACTTGCAACTCTAAAAACTCCTATGTTGTGGATTCTGGGTTCTGGTGATCAGTAGCTCTGTCCCATCCTGCTCTGGAGCAGAGGATGTTATCATGATGCATCATGGGAAGAAGTGAACTGTGATCACAGTACTGAAAACCCAGATTTAAACCTGAAGTTGCCTCAATAACATCAAACCCTGCTTCCTAACACCGACCTCAGATGAACCGAACACATACAATATGGTTTGTTGTTTGTCCCAAACAACGATCAGGTAACACAGAATAGTTGTTCGGTGTTTTCATTTCCTCAACTTCCTTCAAGCTGTTGCTTACAATGACAGGAACATTAGTTACGATCTGCCTCCCAAGTGTGAACAGTTTCGTTTCAAACCGTTTCCTCTCAGAAGACAAGTTAAGAGTTTAAACTTAGAGAAGTAGCTCCAGATAGCACACTGTAAGCTAGCTAGCCCAGGAGCTAGCTGGCCCTGCAGCAGTTATCATCCACATCAGTCAGCGGATAGCCACAGCAACCGGCACGTAGTGATTTGTACATTACTGCAGATTATATATCTATCTACCGCCTATAAATATACAAGTTTAAATATTAAAAAATAACAAATATTGGCCAGCAAATAACCATGAGCACCGCTTACTTGAACGTTTTTCCAGCCAGGTTTTAGAGATGAACAGCGCCACCTGCTGTATCGGAGGGTTTAGTGTCACGTTATATTATCTCACTACTATTTCAAGAGTCTGTATAATCTCCCTGCATGTGTTGTATAAACTACCAGCCCTCTTATGAGCTTCATGAAGTCCTTCTGCTCTTAAACTCTATTCCTGGTATCTTGTTATTTATAACGACACATGACAGCATTTCTACACCGCGGACACAGACGAGTTGGACTTTTTACCCGTTGTTATTATTAATGTGGATTCAAAAGCTGCATGCCGGAACCTTACATGTATATTCACCTGTCTGTAGGGGAACGATATCTTCTTCCTCTTCTTAATACGATGGCAGCAAATTATCGGTGCATAACCACAACCACTCAGTGGGAAAGATCAGTGGCTTTAGTTATGTTGAGCAGCGGGGTGCTTCTTCTTCTTCTTCTTCTTCTTGGGGTTAGTGTTACTATAAGGCGCATTACCGCCACCTACCGAGAAGATTAACACAATTCAGTTAAATTCATTTCAATTCAATTCAATGGATTTCAGTTCATTCCAATTCACCAGTTAAATTCAGTTCAGTTCAGGGTGAAGGCAGGAGACACCCTGGACAGGTCACCAGTCTATCACAGGGCTACACTTAGAGACAGACAACCAAGAACACTCACATTCACACCTACGGACAATTTAGAATCACCAATTAACCTCAACCTGTCTTTGGACTGTGGGAGGAAAATGGAGAACCCGGAGAGAACCCACGCTGCACGAGGAGAACATGCAAACTCCATGCAGAAAGATCCCAGGTGTCCCAACCAATTAAATTAATTTCATTTTATTTCATTTCAGTTCAGTTCAATTCAATTCAATTCAGTTCAGTTTAATTCAATTCAATTAAATATATATAATCTGTATAAAATGTGCACTTATTCAACTCCCTCAGACTAACAGAATGCAGGACGGTTTGGGCAGAGAAGGCTGAGAGGTGGATAAGAAACATGTAGAAATGTATTGACATGAACTGATTATGATCATAAAGTTAGTTTTGAACAATTGCTTATCGATTTTTCAAAGTTTCACATTATATTGTTAACTCCTTTGAAATAAAAAAACCCATAAGCAACTGCATGGTTGCTCTGCTGAGATGTATTTTTTAGTATTATTTTGATGTTTCAAAGGACAGGACTCTCATGTCTGTGTTTACATTGTTTACTTATGATGTGTTTTTCAATCCTGAGCATGAATACACTCAAAAGTATTCACTGAAATGTGTCCTAGAATTTAAACTGACCAAACATACAGTATGTTGGGGTTTGGGTGTTTCTCGATAAATGGGACATAAACATAAACATCTCAGTGGTTCTCAGAGCTTTAGACACTGAAACAGTCTCGCTACAACATTGTATAATCATAGTGAAGTTAACTATCTCTGCAGTATTTTGAGCTAAACAATTTGAAGACACGCTGGTGACATGTGGGACTTTCGTCAGTTTGATGAAAAGAGACACAATGTACATAAACTTTAAATCCTGCTTCATAGGACAGGTCCAGGTTTGGTAACAACAGTTCAGCTTCACTCATGTTAGTGTTGTTTCTGTGTTCAGAGAAACATTAACGCTACTTGTACTTTAAATTTCATAAGAGTGGACCATGATATGAACACACTGCTCTCTCTGTGGGGTTCGTTTGAGAGTGTGGGAGCAAACCACATGGGCTTTTAATCACATTTTGCCATTTGTGGTGAGAATGTATTTCTAGTGTTTCAAAATGCGAGTGTTTACATTATGACACATTTTTTTAAGAGATGAAATAATGTACAGTGGCCAACTGACAGACAGCTGCTGGACAGCTTATGTTGTTTAAATAAACCGTGGTCAACATCCTGATTATAAAACTCAACAGAAAGTTCTGGTTCTGATACTCTCCGCCACCTGTGTTTCCCACAGAGTCCCGCTGTTAGACCTCCAGGACAGCAGGTGGCGCCAAACACTCGTCACGTGGCTCCTCATTTGAAACAACGGCGCTCCGTAGAAAGCCGGAAGTGTTGTAGTTGTTGGCGGAGCAGAAGCTAACTGAGTTAACGGAGTTAACAAGTGAACATGAGAGCGAGCAGATGGCGGCAGATTTCAGTCTGACTGCGAATCCTCGTCTGGAACAGGTTCGGTTCTGCTTACTGGTCTTACTGCTGCACCCGCTCAGTGGGACCGCCTGCTGGGTGTTAGCTTAGCTGCGTTAGCTGCCGGTGTTCCGACGGTTTGTGCTCGCTTGTAGTCTACCTGTACATCTGATAACAACCATGCACCTGTGTTTACCTGAACACCTGACAACAACCCTGCACTCGTCTTTACCTGTACACCTGACTCGGGCCAGCATGACACACATCGACAAAACAGTGCTAGGAAGCACGCTGCTGTTATGAACTAGCTGTTAGCTTCGAGCTAACGTTGCTAACTGTATACACGGAGCTCTGCAGGCTCATAGCCGAGTCACAAACTGATTCAGTATCACTTAAACTAGCCCCTAAAACCCACCTAAAGACCCGTCTGTTACATAATAGTGGTATTATTAATAGTAGTTAATTTTTTTTTAAATTATACAGCACCTTAACGTCAACATTTCAACAAGAGTTCTGATGGACAGAAGATTTACAGAAACAAAGAAACTGCTCAGGGACACTGAATTACTGACACATCAATAACGCATTAATGATTCTGATCACACTGGTGTATTGATTATTGGTCTATCTGTCGCTGATGTATCAGTCACTGGGGTATTGATTGCTGATATAGATACAAGTACAGTTAGGATGTGTAGTTTATAAATAGATAAAACTAAGCAGAATTAGAAGCCACACTAAGGTTTTTTTTCTCCCTTCTTTGTACATCTGACAAAAGGCTGCTTGTAAATAACCCAAACAGAAATAAAGTAAGATTGCATCAAACAAAAAGATTTTCACTCCAATTTTTGCAAACAAATATAAAAGAAAGGCAACACTGATTGACTGTGTGGCAATGTATCAGTTGCTGTTGATGTATTCATTGCTAATGTATTGATCACTGATGTACTGATCACTGGTCTTACTGATTGTCCTCTGTGTGTTCTAGTGGACGGAGAGGCGGCGTGCAGCAGAAGAAGATGTTTGTCCTCTGGAGTTTAAATGTTTAAGGACGGATGGAGGAACGGATGTCTTCAGGACGGGACGGAGGTCCGAGACAGCACCCACACCTGGAACAGAACGTCCCAGTGAGAACAGACAGCAGGAGGACATGACTCCTGTCTCAGCAGTCTCAGGTGACTGATACACTTTAGATTGTATTTTATGTCCCAATTTGGTGGATTTCGCCTGTGGACAGGTGTGAACAGAGAGGTATGATGAAGCCACATGTTCAAGTGTCTCTGTCTCCTGCTCAGGTGAGGGGACTGTCACCAGGGAGACCAATGAGTCCAGCGACGATGAGCTTGGTCGACTGGACATCGACCTGGACAGGAAATCCAAAGAGCTCAACCTGACGTCCAGCAACGTGCGAGCCATCCTGCACGTGAGCAACATGCACATGGCTTATGTCTCTATCCACAGTGTGATGTATTTCTGTCCTCAGAATCTGACATGTCTCTGTCCTGAGTGTGATGTGTCTCTGTCCTCAGTCCTCTAACTTGCTTTGTGTCCCCTTTCAGGAGGTGATTACCCATGAGCGTGTGGTGGCGATGATGAAGACAGCAATCAGAGACACTCAGGATCTGCCCATGTTTGTGAGTGTCCTCTGTGTCTCTGTCTTTAGATGGACTTCATTGTGTCTCTGCAGTGTCTCTTCTTGTTCGTCTTCCTTCATGTGTTCATTTTGCTTTATCATGAAGGTTTTGTCTCTGTCTGTCTCTTTAATGTCTGTCTGTCTGTCTCTCTCTGTCTCTCTCTGCCCTGCTGTCTGTCCCGTTGTTTGTCTCTGTAATTATCACGAAAGTCATGTGTCTCTCTCTCTTTCTCTCTCTCTCTCTCTGTCTCTGTGTCTCTCTATCTCTCTAACATCAGTCTGTCCCTGTCTTTATAGTAAAACTCATGTCTCTTTGTCTTCAATCAGGAGCCGAAAATGACTCGTTCCAGACTGAAACAAGCCATCCAGCAGGGACAGGTAGACTCAACCTCCTACAATCCTCTCTTACAGTTTCCCAACAGTTCAAGACAACCCTGTCTAACCTGTCTGTCTGTCTGTCTGTCTGTCTGTCTATTTGTCTGTCTGGTTCCAGCCACTAAACTGGAGTCTGTCAGGAGTGCACTTAGTCAAGGTAAAGTCATTCAGTCTTTCTAACTGTCTGTCTGTCTCTTTCGCAGTTGTCTGTCTTTTTAACCGTCTGCCTGTCCTGCAGCCTCCTCAGTTTGTTGACATTGATCTTGAGGAGGATGAAGATTCATCTGATGAAGAGTACTGTCCTGATGAAGACGAGGAGGAAGACACGGCTGAGGAGGTGAGTGACTCGCCGACCGTCCAACCATGGTCCAGTATTATAACATGTCCAGCGCTGAAACATGTCCAGTATTATAACATGTCCAACACTATATCACTTTAAGTGTTCCTCTGAGTTTGTGTAACATTGGCAAGTTAACACCTACAGACTGCTGGTCCTCTTTTAATCAAACTACAGCTGTTTGATTTCAAGGAGAAGAAGTTAAACACTTTATGACTTGTTTCTGTGTAGAAGGAGCAGACACACCTTGTGTAAAAACTATAAGTAGAAGACTGGTCTGCTTTTACGTTGCCAGAGCGGATCTCTGTGGTGCATACATGCCACTTACACGCTGCTGTCACGCCTGTTGCCAGTTCCACTGATTATAGTGGAAGCGCAGTGCTGAAACAGCTGCTCCACAAACCAACACTAATGCCAGCGCAATGTGAACAGCTGCTGGGTACTGTGGACTGGACGTCCCGTCAGACCGGCACAAGACATCATAATTCATCCCGATGATAAATTGTAAAATTCCAAGCAACACTTGAAAAACTCCTGTTGCTGCACCAAGCTTTTACCAACACTGTCAAAGAGTGTTTCAGCTGCTTTAACAAACATCACTCTGTGTGCAGAGCTTCCTCAGTGATGGAGACAGCTTGACTTCCCCTCCTAGAATGCATCAGGGCTCACAATTCAAACCTCCAGAAGACCGGAGGGCTGAAGAACCCCCACAGGTACGCTAACCCCTGACCCAGCAGATACCCTAACCCCTGACTCCTGACCTTTTCAGGTTCCTGAGACTCACCTAATTATAGTAATTTCAGCCTTCTCAACTCCTCTGTTCTCTGGCCCGTGATACAGAAATCCATCTTGGTGCACCATCACAAAGGACGTCTCAGTTTGTAAAATGCAGCTTGAAGCTCAGGGTTATAATTCACAGGTGTATCACACAAAGCAGGAATATACAAACCATGTCTGCAGCAGCATTGACTAATGTGTATATGATATATATCCCTCAGTACTGATATATGTCACTCTTAGTTTGTATAGTGCTATTTTGAGAGATCATAAAACAGAGGTCCAGTAGTAGGTCAGTGGAATAAAACAGTGGACATGTGATACAGCTGTGACCACACATCGTATTTAATTGAAATTGATTTAAACAGAAGCTCTAAACTGAGGATGTCTCAATTTGTTCAATACCTGTTGCCTCAACTCCTCCTCGTATCTCTGGTGGGACGGACTAAGATGTGAGGAGAGGAGTGTTGGATGTACTGTTAGTGAAATGAGATCAGGCCTGTTTTTCAGAGATGTCCGGCACATCTTAGGGAACAGATAATGATGTCCACCTGCTCTCCTCAGCAGCTGCTCTCTCCTCCGGCTGAATCCTCTTTCATGGAGAGACTGAATGCTGTAGAGGAGGAGCTGGACTGCAGCCCCACCTACACCTACGACCAGGTACACCTGTCTGTCTCTCTTTTATCTGTCTGTCTGCCACCTGTCTGCCTCTCTTTCTTTCCACCTGTCTGTCTCTCACCGGTTTCTCTCACCTGTCTGTCTGGCAGTCTCTGGACAGAAAACCTGATGCTGATGATGATGGTGGTGGTGGTGGTGATGAAGGTTCCAACTGTTTAGCGTACCGCACACGCTCCAAGCTCCGTCTGGTTAACATCCCTCTGGGTCAGCTGGAGGCGGAGCTTCTTGCCCCTGACATCACAGCGGACATGTATGATCAGAACCACGCCCAGCGGAAGGAGGATCGTCATTGGACGAGGTGGCTGCAGGGTCTCATGGCGCCTGATTGCGAAGGTTAGACTGACAGTAGCACCGCCAGAATCAAATTCTGCCTCACTTTATCTTCATGTTGTCAGTTTTTTCTTGTGGAAAGTGTGTCTTCTACCACTTTGAGAGTTTCTTCATCTTTTTGTCGTCACAATCAGAAAATCTTTCTGCAACATCTCTGACTGATTTGCGCTAAATTTTCTTTTTGTTGGACTGACAGCACAGTGCTCAGACTGTACTCAAAAATCTGGATTTGTTCCTCATGAAGTGTAAAATGTGCAGAAACTGTTTTGATTTCACTATAAGTCATATTTTTAATCAGTTTTTCTAAAAGTGCAAATTAAAAAGAAATTTGTCTCAGTCAGTCAGTCTCTCTGCCTGATATGAAACATTCCATTCATCTGTTACCATGTAGAATAACCAAACAGTTCCAGAGACAAAACAATCTGTAGCGGATTATTTAAAAAAGCAAATTGTGGAGAGAGAGAGAGAGCTCTGACACTTCTGATGATCAGAGTGCAGGAGATACAGATTGAGTCAGTTAAACAGAAGAAATAGCTCCATTCAAAGTGAAACTAATATTAACAGCGATCACAATTTTGGCTTCCTACAATTAAGTGAACATGATCAACTGCAGTCTTGATGTTTATTGTGCGGTCTGCTCATATAAAAGTGCATTCATGGAAAAGAGTAGATAAAATCAATTCAAGTTCATTCTTTTCTAACTAATGTTTGGTCTCACAGCTGTGTGAGGAAACTGCAGCCTCCTGGCAGTGTTTATATAATAATATAATAATGCAAATATTATTTTCTTAATGGTTTAGTTCCATTATGTTCCTGATGGTCTGAGTTACTACAACAGTTTTATTTTGCTTTAATAATGAAGCACAATTTATTTTATTTAGTTTTAACCATCTTTAGATGTGAGGCGTTTAGGGAACATCAGTAAATAGTCAATGAGCAGGTGTTAAGTAAGAGAGGAGTTTAGCCTGAGCAGTTTATAGGGCTGATATCAGAGTAAAAGTGGTGACAAAATGAATATGTTTTTAGATTAAAATATTTTATAGGTTTCAAGTTTCAAATCATTTAAAATATTTACGTCAATGCAAACTACGTTTTGCATGCAAGTTGGATTAATAGTTGTAACTTGTTGTTTTCTCAGACGAAGCTGATGACGACGATGACCCCGAGTACAACTTTGTGGATGATCTGGATGAACCGGACATGGAGGACTACCGGACAGACCGGGGCGTGCAGATCACGAGTAGGTGACGTGGACGTCCGAAGGTTCTGGTCTTGTTGTTTCACTTGTTGTTCTCACTGTGAACTCTTCTGCTTCTTTTTCAGAGAAGGAAGTGAATGAGCTGCTGGAGGAACTCTTTGATACAGTGAGTTTAAACGTTTGGTTACTGAAACATCATTTGGTTGGTATTTCCTTGCTGACTTCATTACTTACAATAATTTTGTCACAGATTTAAATTTCACATCAGACTGCAGTTAATTACAACAAACAACAAGTCTGTTTCATCTTCGCTGTAAAACACAAACCAGTTCTTTACATCATCAATGGCCAAGACATCTCATTTCTCCTGAATAGTTTAAAACCCAAACAGGAACTCTTCACGTTTCTGGATTTTTGGACTATTTGGTGCAACAGACCTTCTCATGTGATGCTGAAATCTGTTGCAGCTCAAGGACGAGGAGGTGGCAGCTGAGGAGGAGGAGCAGGAAGGAGAGGAGACTGGACAAAAATTCAATGTCCCCCAGGCTTTACGGTAACGCTGAGTGATGCATGATGGGAGGTCAGAGTGTCGAACACATATCTGTACAAACACATATTGTATATTTAATCAAACACAGTCACTTCTCAAAATGTTTAGACCTGCACTGTGGTGCAGAATAAATGTAAAATGAATAACATAGACATTTCCCACCAGTCTGTACTTAGGAACCAGAATAACAAACTGAAAACATGTTGTAGACAAATTAATCCAAAATCAAAGCTGAAATCTTGTATTTACTGAAACTGTGGTCATGTTGATCTTGTTTGCTTTTGTAACCGTTGTTGTTTTTTCACAACCTGATTAGATTACACCTGTGGCAAACTGAACTGAACTGAAAAAGGCAAAGGCAGGTTTATTTGTGTAGCACAATTCGTACCCGAGGTCATTCAAATGACTTCACACAAAAGTATAAGAAGACAGATAAAATCAGTCCGTCCACAGAACATAAACATAATTATTAATTGATTACATTAAAAGCACAGAGGCAGATAAAATCAATCCATAAAAACATAATTATAATCATTCATTTGAAGAGTACAGATAAAATACTTTCAGCTGTTATATGCACAACTAAATAGAACTGTTTACAGAGTTTAGATAGATACACATCTGTGTATAAGATTAGATAAGATATGCCTTTATTTATATATAAGATAAGATAAGGTTTATATACAAGATATAGATATAAGATTCATAGATCACATAGCATGTCACGTGTTTGTCTAAAGCATGTTTTCACTTTGTCATTCTTGGTGACTGAATGCAGATTGATGGGATAATTTTGACGTTATTGATTCACAGTTAATTCTGGAACACAAAGTGAAGGTCTGAATGTATTGTGAAGTGACTGTACAGCTATACGAAGACAAATCCATACAGAACATCTGGATTACAGACGTCACAAGTTCTAATACTTTGGTGTTAAATTGATTTTAAACTCCTGAAAACGTGCGGATCCTTGTGATTCTGTGGTCCTGAAGGCAGTGAAGGCAGTATAGACGTTGCATGTTCTGGACGGTAATGTGCAACTGCAGCAATAAACACATGTAGGGAGATATTTAGTGTATGATGGATGGTCAAAGATGAGCTATTGACGACCAAAGTCATAATGCAAGCTGGTTTAGTCTAACATAACGATACACTCATAAGCTACTGTTGTCAGTGGTCAGTCTATCAGATATGTCACTGATTGTCCAAACATTCTGTGTGCAGCAGCTGTTTAAACTAACTTCATGGAATCATCAATACTCTCTGATGGAATCTCAATAGTTTTGCTGCTGTGACATTTACACTTGTAGAGCTATACAGCCACACTTCTAGAAACACGACAATGTACGCATGAATACAAACAGATTGAGACACTCGTGTACTTACCGTACAGTCGGTCCTCCTATTGGGACGGTGCAGCAGAGAAGTGCTGTAACTGTTTGGGTTGGGAGGAACAGAAAAGTCCTCTTATGCTTCTTCACTAAAGAAACATGAAGAAGAATCCAAGTTAGAGGAAACATTTGGTTTCAAATTGTGTCCCATTTTATGCTCTGCCCCCTTCCAGGTCAAACTGGTTACTAAGTTCGTGTGTCCCTCATCTATGACTACATAACATTCAGCTTACTTTATTTATACATCACAACATATCCCATGCCAGTAGTGTTGAGTCAGAGGAGGAAACAGTGACACACCTGGACACAGTTTTCTACCTGTTTGCTGTCCACAGTTTTGAGGCGCCGTTAGCTGGCATGTTGACGGAGCGACGGCAGACGGTCAGGAAACAGTACGAAGCTCTGCAGCAGCGGAGAGCCCTGCAAGACACAACTAACCAGCCCCGTAACAACGGCTACGCCAAGGACACACCCTGTCCACCACCCGACACCGCTGCATCCGTCTTAGTGCTGCCAAGCTGGATGTGCCCTGCCCTCCACGTGGACTACGCCCAGAGACTGCAGCTACAGCAGCAGGTGCAACAGGTATGCAAGATGTGGCGAGCGCTTGGCTGGTGGCCTCAGGACTGAACCACTGCTCCATGCAGATGGTGTGATTCTGCAGGCATCACCTGACTATGGAGGTTGACTGGATTCAGCTGAGGTCCTGATGTCCAGGTAGGGGCTTTAAGAATGTCTCAGACTGCTTCCACTGTTGTTCTGGTCCTGGACCTGGACCTGGATTGGCAGCAGGAGGTAGTAGACAGCTGATTCTGTTTCACAGTGTGTCCTTTATTTTTGTATTTAGTGTCTGTGATCAGCTGCTCTTCATCTTTAACAATAACCAAACCCTTGAGTTTAAATGCACAATTTAATTGACAGCAGCTTTCTCTAGGGTGTTTCCCCTGAGACCATGTGACTAACTGTTGCTTTCACTCTTAGCATGTGCAGCTACTGGCTCAGGTTCACCTGCTGAGTCGCCGTGTTGATGCCCTAAACCACGAAGCCTCCATCACCAAACACTACCTAGTAAGTAAACAACAATACAAACAGTATTTGTGGGCTGTACAAGAAAGCAAGTTTGACATATCCAGGCTTTTTATGTCTAAGCCGGCTCTAAAGTCCCAGTCGGAGATAACAGGTGGTTGTTAACTGTTTTCTAAACTCAGGCTTTCTGCTTCAGACTGTTGGTGTTTAATGCGTCATTTGATTCTTCTTCTGCACTCAATCAAACGATCATATGTCGCTGCTTCAGTCAGGTTGTTTTAATGTAGAGCTACAAGGAATATAACAATATATGACAGTAAAAAGCTGCTATTGTACATGATGCAGGACAGGAAGCCTGGTAGAAAACTGTTAATCATGTGTAAATATATTTATTTTACTGATCAATACAGGTGATTATTTGTAGTTGACAGCTGCACCATAAGCTGTTGAACTTTAAACTTCGTATATTGAATCGTGTTGTGTTGAAGTGCATTTAGGTCTGACATTGTCCCATAATGCAGGAAATCACTTTAATTTTTGGTCAAATCAAAGAAAAATGAATGTTGCTGGTTGACTATTCTCTGTAATAAATGCCAGTAGAATAATCAGTGTTCTCATCTCTGTTGCATTGGCTGCAGTGCTACAAGCAGCAGTGCAAAAGGACTGAGCAACAAATCAGGACCACACATAAAAACATATTTATATGATTTCTGCGTTACCAACGTGTTTACAGATGAAATATATTCCATCAGCTGACTGTCTGAATCACTCAGAGGATCATCAGTAAATTATTTTTGTTACAGGAAGACACTTTTTTCAACAGATTTAAATCTAAACTCTGAACAGAATCTGCTCCCGACCAGGTTAGCTCTGCAGTATCTGTTACCATGGTGATGTAGCTGTGCAGCATCCGTTACCATGGTGATCTGGCAGGTTAAAAGAGCCTTGGTAACACTGAAAAGTCTGACTTTACGCTCAACATGCCTTGCTAACCCAGTAATCTAACGTTGTTGTACAGCCCTCTGGTCATTGGACAACAACACAAACACGACCTGTTCAATCAGTAAACAACACAACAATTCTCTCTTCCTCCCCACAGGATGAGCTACAGCAGTTTGCTCATCGCCGAGAGAAGGATGGTCTCCGCAGCAGCTTCAGAGTGTGTAACCTGCAGGGGGCACTGGATCTCCTGCAGGAGGTGGAGCAGAGGGAGGCGCTTCCACCTGCTCTTCCTGCACCTGCAGCCTCCAGACGTTGGCTACCGAGGATGACTCCTGCAACCAACAGTAAGGAGGACAACTGAACCTTTGCTCTGACTGAATTTTAAACACCTGTCAGACACAAGTTTGACATTTTTTACCATGTTTGACATGTTTGACATTCTATCAACTGGTTATGTTTCTGGTCTTGGTTCTGTTTAGGCCACGCTTTCCCCCTGCTGCCTGCTGACACTGCCTGGCTGTTCGCCACCCGATCTGTCTTTCTCTACTCAGAACTGCTCCCTATCTGCAGCCTGGACCCTGCCGTCCACAGCAGAAACCACAGGAGTGTTTACACTGCCGGAGAGGACGGGTACAAATGTCTATGTCTCACCACAGTTTGATCATAGAGGTCTGCACAGAGCTTTTGGACTTCTGTTTGTGTCTTGACTTGCAGTATAAAATGTTGATCTCATATACACAAATGTGAGTCTAACTCTGTCCAGTCAGTTCATATTTCCACAAGTGGGATCTAATGATTAAGGATTAATAAAGCTAACAGGATAATTATGACCACAGTTTGAGACCTCAGCAAAGCATCTGAAGACTTTTATGAATCAGAGATTTCAGTTTTTCAGATTTTCATTTCTAGTCATTTAAACTTGAATCTACAACACAGTAAAGTAAAAGGCTGATAATGATATAACACAATAAGTAACCACAGATACCTGCAGAAAGGTACAGGAGAGGCACAAACTACACACTGTCTGACATAATGTTTCCCATGATGCCTCTGTGCAGGCTGATTGTTCTGGGCCTGAAGCACTTCGAGGGGACACTTCATGCAGATCAGCTGATCAGCTCGTACCTGCTCTGTAAGAGTCGATGGAACTTCAGGAAACACGTCAGAGAGATTAGCAGTTCGAGAACAACACGCAACAACGTCATCAAGGTGGCATCACTGTGACATCACCACACACATTTTCAGAATACTGTAGCAGCTGTATTTGTGTCCTGTAAGAATGTCTCACCAATACCAAAATTATTTCTGCACCCCTGGAGACTGCACCTATCGGGCCGCACATTTAGAACTTTTTATCAAGACCGCGCCACCTACTGCCATGGGGGATCACGAAAGTGCATGACTTATGGTTTTAAAGGATGATTTTACTCAAAATATACCATACAAGATGTATTTAACACAAAGTTCTACCTCATGTCCAGATACCTATAGTTTTAAAGGTTTATTCCCCCAGTTAGTGCATTCTAACTAACAAGTTAAGGAGTGGAAGCTTTATTTCACGCAAAATACAACTTGCTTACTAAGACTTGCATTTGGACAAGTTGTTTAATTAGCATGCTTCATATGCTGTGGGCTTTGTGGTCTCTAGCATTCAACTCAGTAGGCAAACATCACTGGTCCTAGAAGTGCAGCCTCCGGGGCTGCAGACATGCCCTCATTGGGTGGGAAGGCGTAGCTGAATTATTGACTTGTCATATTTTCAGACTTTCCTGATGCAGGGGGTCGTCCCTCCTCTTCCACTTGCCTGCAGCAGAGTTCAGCCAGAAGACCAACGCCCCCCAGTGGACAGAAATACCTCCAACATGCCAAACTGGCTCAAGGTTGGAAAAACAAAACCTGATTCAAAAGCTAGATTAAGACCAGGATCCAGATTCACATCAAGATCCGGATCAGTGTAAAGCTTGCTGACAGAGAGTATGGCAGAATGATATCATCATAGATATGTGCTTATCTGACAAAATATTTAAGTAAACATTACAGAAATGGTCAAAATGTACCTCAGGAAACTCCAGGTCAATATTAGTGTAACATTGCAGTGCCGGTTTTCACCAACAGGTGTCAGTTCTCATGCGTTTCCATCCATCCATTATCTATACACCACACAATCGTCACATGGGTCGCGGGGTGGGGGAGCTGGAGCCTGTCCCAGCCGATTTAGGGTGAAGGCAGGAGACACCCTGGACAGGTCACCAGTCTATCGCAGGGCTACACTTAGAGACAGACAACCAAGCACACTCACACCTACGGACAATTTAGAATCACCAATTAATCTCAACATGTTTTTGGACTTTGTGGGAGGAAGCCAGAGAGAACCCACGCTGCGGGGAGAACATGCAAACTCCACGCAGAGGGATCCCAGTGCCAGTGACGCGAACCGGCGACCTTCTTGTTGCAAGGCAACAGTGCTAACCAACTGCGCCACCTTACAGCCCCTGATTCAGTTCAATTTATTAAGTGGGACAGGAAACAACACCTGATATCAAGTGTCAGCTGTTAATATATAATCTGTTACATGTTAAATATGTGAAACCATGGCTACAAGGAGAGATCAAAAACGTACAAATCTTAGAATCAGCATGGCCACATGTTTCCAAGTGTCCACAGGTGTTACCAACAGAGGAATAAATGGAGGCTTCACACACTGTAGATACAGTCATGCAAACCTGCTGGTGAATTGTGGGTTTCAGAAAGTTAACTAAACTGTAACTAACAACCGTAATTAACATGTAGAAAACAGATTAGGTAACCCCTTAATGACAGACTAACCAACCCATCACTGACAGATTAAGTACGCTCCACTGACAGACTAACCAACCCGTTACTGACGTGTTGTTGGTTGGTTCTTACCTGCAGAACAGTCAGCAGATCATCCAGAAGACCCGGCTGGACTCCACCTCCTACCCCCCCTCCCTCCCCCCAGGTTGCGCTCTCAGGCTCCACCCCTATTGGCTCAACAAGTCATCCCGCCCACCTCCTCGTCAACACAGACGCCTCTTCACTCTGGCCCACAATGCATCTCTGTTGCCCCTCGCTAAAGCCCTGACTGACAGACAGGTAGACGTGCAGCCAGTTAGCTACCTGTCTCTTCCTTCTCCAGGTGTTTCGTTGCTCTCTGACCCCCCTGCTGTGTCAGGAGCCCTACCAATGGCTCCATCTCCTGTCAGTGGGGCCGTCCCATTGGCTACTGTTCATCCAGTCCCCTCCCACCCCACACGCACTGACGTTATCCAGTCTTGCCTTCCTGTTGGCCAAAATATGCAGCAAAAGGTTTCTGAACAAGAACGCCCCTCCCCCCTCCCATTCCTCCTCCCCTTGTCCTCCCTGTCCAGCCATAACACTACAAATCCCATAATACCTTGCTCAGACACAGTTGTGAAGCCCAGCTACTTTCTGCTCCAGATGATGTGGGCGCCACCACCTCCCCCCTCCACCACCTCCCAGCCTGCTCCTGGGAATCAGCAGCCTCTTGCTCCAATGAAAGAAGTGCACGACACAGTCTCAAAGTCACGACCCTCACCTGAGCAGGTGCGGCAGGTGGAGGAGGGGAAGGAGAAGCAGACTGTTCTTCATATCAGTTTGAATGGAGGAGAAAACAGTGGTGGGGAGGAGCAGATGACAGAGGGGAGGGATGGAGGAGGAGACAGGGAGGACGGAGGAGAAGATAGGGAGGATGGAGGAGAAGATAGGGAGGAAGGAAGAGAAGATGGGGAGGATCAAGGAGACAGGGAGGATGGCGGAGAAGATAGGGAGGACGGAGGAGAAGATAGGGAGGATGGAGGAGACAGGGAGGATGATGGAGACAAGGACAGGGATGAAGATCAGGACCGGCAGGGTGAGGAGGAGGAGGACTTTGATGACCTTACACAGGATGAAGATGAGGAGGAAGTGATGTCATCAGCCTCAGAGGAGTCGGTGCTGTCCGTTCCTGAGTTACAGGTAACCAGGAAGTTTCTGACATCATCAGGGTAAGGCTGACATTCGACTTCTGTTGTGAGACTGACCTCTGACCTCTGACCTTTAGGAAACCATGAAGCAGCTGACGTGGCTAGCAGCGGAGCGGCGGCTCTGTGCAGACGGAGACTCGGAGGAGGATCACTCTCCGACGTCTCCTGGTTCTCAGGAGGAGGAGGAGGAGGAAGAAGAGGAGGGACCGAAGGGAGAGGAGTCAGTGGAGGGGCGGAGTAGTAAGGTGGGCTTAGACGAGGAGACGCCATCAGGAGAGAGGACGCCCAGAGGAGGAGGGAGATGTTCTGGACGAGGACGAGGTAAGATCTGTCTCTGGTAACTTTTTTTTTTTTTTTTTTTTAAATTGACATCATAACTGAGTGTCTTTTGTCGTCTGCAGGTCGAAGCCGACCTCATCGTGGTTTGAAGAGGAGCCGTCAGGAGCGTCACAGTAAAGACGCCACTAAACTGTTGCTGCTGTACGATGAAAACATCTTGGACAACGACCCGCACAGAGAGAGCAAAGATGTGGCGTTTGCCCAGAGTTACCTCAACAGGGTAAGACTATAGGATGTGTCCTATCATAGAGCTGAGGGACGGACTGGAGACTGTCCCCAACCAGAACCCCCAAGGACAGGGTCGGGTCCATCTGAGACCTCCCTAATGATTCTGACCTGGTTCAGCTGAAACACACTTAACTGAGACTGAAATTGTTTCCACATGTTTTCATCTTTTCCCCTAAAATATATTTTATTGACTCATCATTTCTTATATATACTGTCTTATATATAAAACCTAACAGTGAAATGTCCTTGCTGGCACAGGTACTATAGCAGATGAACCCAACACACATTTTATTTACCTGCCACACTGATATGTTGAGAGAGTGTCAAGTTTTGTTTTTTTATTTATTTATTTATTTTTTTAAATATATTTTTGGGGCTTTTTGCCAAAAAATATATTAAAAATATGTCTTTATTTAGAGCAGTAGAGATAGACAAGAAAGGGGAAGAAGAATGGGGAGAGACCTGCAGCAGCGGGTCGTGAGCGGGGGAACTGTAGCCCCTGTTTATGAGTCGCCTGCTCAACTAGGTGAGCTATAGGGACGCCCAAGAGAAAATCAAGTTAATCCTGAGACTTTGTCTGTCCCACTGTCCATGGAAGAGATTTGTTTCAGTTGCTGCTCACTGACTAACCCAATGGAAACTATAACTAATAGTTCTAGGAAGAATATGTTTATTCTGGCCAAACAGTCCTGAGACTGAACTCTGCAAAGGACAAAGTAATCAGCACTGACCCTTACACTGAACCCATTACAATTACAATCGTAACCCAAACATCAGAGGTGTAAGTTTCATGCAGCGTTCTTGGAAGGTTCTATCTGCATTTGACTTGTTCCTCCCAAAAAAACAGCTTTTACAGATTTCAAGGGAAGTTCCTGAGAGGACATGTTGTGATTTGGTGCCACAAGAATCAAGCTGACCTGATTGTTGTGGTCCACAGGTGCGTGACGCGCTGCAGGACGTACCTGGTCAGATGGAGGAGTTTGTGTCTCTGCTAAATGAGTTTGAGCAGGTGGGAGAAGGAGAGGAACTGCTGCTGCTGTACCGGAAGCTGCGCTGCATCCTGGGGAACCGGATGGACCTCCTCCGAGACTTTGCTGCATTCCTGCATCCAGAGCAGGCCCTGCAGTGTGGACTGGTGAGCTGCACAGGTGTATAAGGTGGAAAACAGCAGGTGTTTGTATGTTGTCCACACAGTCTACATCAACCTGCTGTTTCCTGTCAGTGTTTATAATGTCACTGGTCACAGGTCAGTTTACAGTTCAGGTGTGAAACAGGCTCTGAGTGATTGATGTTACCTCCAGGCAGCATGAAGTTTTCCTCATGAACTTTAGTGTTTGTTGAAATCATGAACTGTCTCCACAGTTTGAGGAGCAGCAGGCGTTTGAACGCAGCCGCCGTTTCCTGCGACAGCTAGAGATCAGTTTTGGAGATAATCCGTCACATTACCAGAAGATTATCAAAGCTCTGCAGACCGGTCCAGACCTGAGTCCAACCAGTATCCACGAGGTACGATTGGTATGAGACCAGATTAACCATCATTTATAACTATACAAAACCTATTTAACCATTGTCAATGAATAGAAATAAAAAAAACTGTTTAACCATATATCATTAGAAACAGAAATTAGTTTACCATTATTAATAAAATTATACAATAACCAGTTCAGCCATATCAATAAATATACAGAAACCAGTTTAACAAGTGGATTTTATTGAAGCTAACAACAGCTGTTTAATGGTTTGCAGTTGAAAGCTCAGATGGCCACGCTGCTGAAAGGCCACACCCATCTTCAAGCTGAATTCTGGGTATTTTTTGATGAGCTCCGCCCACCTCCAGCCCGCCCTGGACAGTTTGAAGAAGCCCATTGGCCAGAGGATGGAGGGGGTGGATCAGACGGTGGAGAAGGGGTTGGCCAGGTATCAGGAGGCGGGGTCTGTAGCGGCTTTGAGGAAGTGACACTGCCAGAGCTTGAAGAGGAAGAAGAGGGTCTTAAGATCCAACCAATGACAAACCGGCGCCAGAGGAGGAAGATGGACGCACACAGAAACTACAAGGTCTGCAGAGGACCTAGGTCCTTTTAAGAATTTGGATCCGATAAAGGTTTGAATCTTATAAAGGTCCTATGAAAATTTAGTTCCTTTAGAGATTTGAATCATACTAAGGTCTTTGTCCTATAAAGATCTTGATCCTAGTAAAGGTCTGGATCCTACAACGGTCTGGATCCTTTAAAAGCCTCGTTCCTTTAGACATCTGGGTCCTTTAATAGTCTGGACCCTTTGTTCTAGTTCATTCAAAGAGTTCTTGCCACACTGGTCAGTTTGTTGTTTACAGTGCATGTTGTGCTTCCAGGACTGTGATTGGTCAGATAAACACTGGTCCTGCCTCTGTCCCGATGCGAAGATCCGCCGACACAGGAGGAAAGAATGTTCCCGCTGCCATGGCAACAAGGTGTGTCCTCATGTTTGCTCTGGTTCCTGCACTACAAAGCAGGCTTTAAGGTTATTGAGGTAACTTCAGGGTTAACGCTTGGTTTCCGGTACTACAACAGTGATTCATGTTTCACCACATACATCTCCATGGTAACTTGTGCTGAACGCCTTACCTGTTCCATACAGATTATGCTAGTGATAAGATCAGCACGTATTAAAACGCCGCGTACTGACCAATCAGTTCTCTTGGAAAATGTTACTTGAAGATGTAGTGGAGCTCAGTGCTAAGATAGCAAGAGAGGATCAAAACTTCTAGAGTTGCAAGCGATTTCAAAGTCATGTCATTATTCTATTTGCCTTTGTAGAGCAATTAAATCCTAAAACAGAAACTGATCAAAACACTAAAGCCTTACAGCTGATTGTTGACCTCATAAAATCACCATGAAAACTGTTTTTGTGAGTAGCATGTATAAAGTAGCATCTATAAAGTTGTGCACGCTATGTGATATGAGAGTCAGCCTACTTAGAGGTTTGAATTATGTTTTTTTCTGTTCATATTGTACTAGCTCTCAGACTGTTTAACACTGCAAAAGAACAGCTTTAGAAGAATACATCTAAGCAACACTTTAAAAAATATATGCAGTTGTAATAATAGTCCGATCTGCTCGTGTCCTAATATCTTTGGTGGTGACATTAATAAGCCTGTCAACACAATCTGCAGTTTTCCCTCCTGCAGCAGCTCCTGCAGCTGTGTAACGTTTAGTGTAACTTTAACTTTTAGTCTGTTTAAAATCTTTCTCTAATATTATAGTTTGCTCTTTTTTTTGGTAAAATATGTCACTCTGCCGCCAGTATACCTGTCCATGTCTGTGACTGGTCATTTGATACCAGCACCACCTCTTTTATATGAACACACTTACATCCAAATTCAATAACCCTGAATTGACTCAGAGTTGATAACCAGCTTCATGAGACCTCATATCCAGAATGTTGTAGTTGGTTAAGTAAAGCCAGATAAACCAAAAGATGATCTGGGGATGTTGAACTTATTTTGTTTCCAGGTGTGACAAACAGATGTTTGCAAATACCTGACTCACCTGTTGATTTCTCCTGCAGACCTCAGGGGGAGTGTCCAGGGCCATGAAGAGTCTGGACCCTCTCTACTCTCAGATAAGCACTGCCCATGACGAACCAGGTGACAAAGACCTGGACCTGAAGGGGGGTGATGACAGTCCACAGCCAGGTGTGTCACTGAAGCATGTGTTCATTTTAAACAAACCGCCTGGTGTGTGTTTGCTGAGAATAACAAACCAACTTCTTGTTGTTGACAGATCAAAGTGGTGCATCGTGGGAAGGCCCATTCCCTCTGACTGATGAGAAGGAGGAGGAGGAGGAGGAGCTGGACGATGAAGAGGGTGATGAAGAAGAGGAGGAGAGGAAGACCAGTGAGAAGGAGCAGGGTCTGACAGGAAAGAGGAGCAGGAGAGAGGAGGCGCGACAGCCCCCATCCATCACCTCATCCGTTACATCCACCTCCTCTGTCTTCACCTCTGCATTAGTTAGCTCCTCCTTGTCTCCCTCTGCCTGCACCTCCTCCATCACCTCCTCCTCCGTTTCTTCTGTTTCTCCTTCTGCCTGCACCTCTTCCATCACCTCCTCCACTGTCACCTCCGCCTCCGTTTCTTCTGTTTCTTCCTCTGTCTGTACCTCCTCCAGCCTCGGTTCTTGCTCCTCTGCTCCTCCTCGGCCCAGTCCTCCTCCTGACCTCCCTGTCTGTGCCAAGAACATTTCTCTGACGGCGAGTGGAGAGAAAGTGATCCTGTGGACCAGGTACACATGAGTTCGAACTACCGTCTGTGCTCCTCTTCCTCGGATGTGCTGTCTCCTCCTCTGTAAGGAGCAGCAGGAGTTACTGACCGTTGTTTTGTTTCATATCCAGAGAAGCTGATCGTGTCATCTTGACAACATGTCAGCAGGAGGGGGCCAATCAGGACACTTTTCAGGCCATCTCCAGCCTCCTTGGCAACAAGACGCCTAGTGAGGTAATTGACTGTTGCTTCTGTCGGCCTGTGATTTGTTTTTAAGCTCTATGCTCACCTGTCCTTGTGTCTTCAGGTGTCTCGCAGGTTTCGGGATTTGATGCGTTTGTTTCGGACAGCAGCTCGTCAGACCAGCTCTGAAGATGAAGCTCCGCCCACCGAAGCAGCATCAGCCAATGAGACAGAAGACTGATATTCACTAAGATGAAGACACTAATGTCACCCAATGAGAAGAGCTTCAGATCAGGAGCAGAAAATGTTGTTTGATATTTTGACGATTTTTATTGTAAAAGACGTTTTAGGTCACAGCTGTTTATTGTTCATATGAAAAACAAAATGTAAATACGAGCGTTCAGATTATTTAATGTCTTTGTAAAGATGTGACATTTTTTTAAACATTAAATCAGTTTTTCATCACTCAGTCTGCTGGCATCTTATTAATTTGAAATTCATTTTGACTCAACAGCACTGAAAAACTGTCACTAAGAAACAAAACAATGCCTCTTGGTCATATTTCTAAACTGTATTCTAGCTTGGTTTTGGTTTTAATTCCTATTTCCTTGGAGGAATGTATACAAGCTCAATGGTTCGCTGCCAGAAGACTAACTTTACTAGCTGTACAAGTGAACAAAACACAATACGTCTGTTTTATACATTTACATTATTTTAAACCTGTAACTGTTCTACTCATCTTTAATCAGAGACAAGATTGTTGAATACTAGTTGAAAAGTGCAATAATATTAAACTGTTTCACAGTTGTGATGAAGTTGTGTTGCAGGGACGTCAAACTGTCACTGTCCACCGTTTTTTTTATCTCTTCAATTATCCCAAATCTGATAGACAAAGATCTCCATTTTAGTCTCATCAGACCAAAGAACGTTATTCCAGTTGACTGCAGAGTCTCACACATGCCCTCTGGTGAACTCTAGTCCATATTATGAGCTTTTTAACAGTGTCTTCCTCTTTGCCACTCAAAGCTTTGACTGGTGAAGAACAGGCAACACTTGTTTTATCCAAAGTCTCCCATCTTAGCTGTTGAAGCCTGTAAACTCCTTCAGAGGACTCAGGTGTCTTGGTGACCACCTCAGGAGTCTCTTTCTTGTGACTCCTTCAGAGGAGTCATAGGTGTCTTGGTGGCCACTCTCACTCATCTCCTTCTTGTAACTCCGTCAGAGGACTCAGGTGTCTTAGTGGCCTCCCTCACTCGTCTTTTTCTTGTAGCTCCCTCAGATGAGAAATAGGTGTGTTGGTGGCCTCCCTCACTTGTCTCTGGTTACCTTATAAAACCATAAATCCTCACTCCCTTTTTAAACCCAACCACATAAAGGAACAATGCAGCTCATGTTTCCACTTGGAACACAATGTTGAGGCAGCAGACAGATAAACATCATCTATGTCAGTGTTCTGCTGCAAAACTTGTTCAGGTGTTTGAAACAGTGTTTTTAAGCTGTTTCAGACATGTAATACATTCTTATTACTTTTTCCTTTCACGTGCTAAAACTGGTGGCGACATAGTACAGTAGTTAGCACTGTTGCCTCACAGCTAGAAGGTTCTTGGTTTGAATCTAGGCCTAGGGTCTTTCTGAATGAATGAATGAATGAATGAATGAATGAATGAATGAATAATTGAATGAACGAATGAATGAATGCTACAACTGTACTACAATTGTCTACTTCATTATTCATGAGGGAGAAGACAAGATGAATATCGTGATGGAACTAGGTGAACATTCACAGGAGCAGGATGGAACAGATGTACAATGACAGACTTTTCTCTTCATGAAATCACATGAAGCTGAGCCCCCTGTTGCTCTACATTCACTCAGATAAAGAAATCACACATTTTAACAAATAATATTTATTTTTTAACTCAGCTGACCTTTATCACAAAACAATAACAATATCAGCTAAAAACAAAGCAAGCATAAAAACTCAGGATAAAAAGTTTATCTGTGACCTCAGAGCATAAAACTTGGAAGACTTTCTCATCCAACCTGATCACCAACAGTTTAATAATCGATAATGTGTTGATGACTAATAACTCTTCATAGGAGAACATCAGACTTGACATTAAATCTGTCAGAAGACAAACGTTTTAACTGGAGGTTGATTGTTTTAGATAAAACAATATTAAAGTCTGACGAACACTTTAGAATCAGACACCTGCTGCAGGTGAGTACAGGTGATTCAGGCGAGAGCACGGGAAGCAGTTTAATATCTCAGTTTTGAAGTTCCGTGTATTCGTGGTTAAACCACAGAGACAAACTGCTCATACAGGTGTATCTGTATGGGGGCGTGGCAGTAGTGACTGACAGGTAGGGGCGGGTTCATCCTTGTGCTCTTTCTCCAGTTTCAGGGTCGACGTCATCATCGAGCTCTGAAACAAGAAAGAACAAAAACACGTTAGTGGGAGGCCTAGTCTGTTACTGCTGGGAACACTGTTACCTTTGTCATACCTATGGGCTACCTGTGTACTAGCTGTGGGCTACCTGTGTGCTAGCTGTGGGCTACCTGTGTACTAGCTGTGGGCTACCTGTGTGCTAGCTGTGGGCTACCTGTGTGCTAGCTGTGGACTAGCTGTATGCTAGCTGTGTCATTACTGTGTATTAGCTGTGTGTTACCTGTGTCATATCTTAGTCACACCTGTGTGTTAGCTGTATGTTACTTGTGTGTTACCTGTGTCATACCTGTGTGCTGCCTGTGTGCTACCTGTTTGTTACCAACGTGCTACCTGTGTTGACGTTTTCACAGAGAACTGGAACCTGACCAACTCACCCATACAGTCTTCATCTCTGCTCTCTGGGTTGTGCTGTTGGTTCTCCCGGTTCAGCTGATTCTGCTGCTGGTTCTGCTGGTTTGCTACAGATGGAGGATTTTCTTCCATGTGAAAGTTGGCCTCTGATTGGTTGGGAGAACAAACTGTGTTGACTAGCTGGTTGTTAGTAGGAAGGTTGACGTTATTCCAGTCTGGACCGATGGGAGTAGAGGATGCTGCTGACACGTCTGTTCAACAGGAAACAAGACGTGATGAAAGGTCAGAGGTCAGGTCATTTGGTCCACAGGCAGTTTATGTATCATCAGTGATCATATCGATTGATGAATAATGAATAGGATCAGAGATTCATAAACAACCTGAAAGTCAGTGGGAGCAAGACAGAAAGCAGCTGCATGAAGCAGAGAAAGGGAACCCTGTTTAAAGCAACAGCAGGAGAACATCTGGAACAGAAGAGAGACAGGCAGGTGGAGAACGTCTGAGAGGAGACAGTGAAAAAGAAGGTTCACAATACTGCAGTGAGACCTGAGACGGACAGTTAGGGATAGAGTGGACAGAGGACGATGCGAAATCATAAACTTTATTTAAATGGCCAAACTTTACCTGCACTTGAATAGCTGCACCTTATTTACACATAAATAAACTTTATTTAATCATACAGGCTGCCAAACTTTATGTACACTTAAATAAACAAAATTGATTATATAAACTTTATTTAAACTTGAACAAACGTTATTTAAATTGAGAAAAATACATTAAATTTGGAGGTAAATAAGTGAATATCATTTAAACCTAAATAACTGAACTTGAAAAAAACTTGAATAACTAAACTTTATTTAGGTTGGCATTAAAAAAAACTATAGCTAAAAAAAAAAGATTTATACCGAAATAACTACACTTTATTTAAACTTGAATGACCCTCACCTTTTAATAATATAAACGTGAACGTGCACAGCTTATTACGGTGCCAACAAATTATATTTATATATTATATACAATTGTTTTTTTCCCCCACTTGAATAAACTGGACTTTATTTAAACCTAAATAGTTCAGCTGTATGTAAACTGGAATAACTACACTGTTAAAACTGGAATATACTCTAGTCTGGGTCCAGGCTGAGTCTAAGAACCACCAGTTTAATCCCGTGAGCACACAGCTCATTAAAGCTACATGAGATGTTCTCTCAGCGGTGACTGACCGTAGGATCTCCTGCGGAGCTTCCTAAAGGGACAGTTTGCTCTGAGCCGTAGCAGACACGACCTCCTCCTCACAGGCAGAGACTCCATAAAGAAAAGCTTCGATTAAAGCAGCAGAACTCCGTCGGAGCGAGTTGATTGAGCAGAAACAGTCCGTTCAGAAGCTCCTGAGACTGCGAAGACCTCAGAGAACAAATACAGTCTAGCCACACACCTGAACCTTCAAAATAAAAGATCAGATCAGGTGAAACACGGAAGAATCATGAACAGAACAAGTAAAATGCGAACACCCTTCATGAGTAATCCTGTTTATTGACCCCTGATCAGAAAACTGTTGAAAGAAGTTATTGATCTTTCACTGACGCCTCACAGTGAGTAACTTTAAACTGTTTTTGTGTGCTCCTATACACCTGCAGAATTCATCTGTCAGCTGTGTTCACTACACCATGTGTCATTATTAATTTATGAACATCAACTCAATAAAACTTCAGAAACAGCTGTCAATCACGTTTCATTTTTTTAAAAAAATCCTTTTACAGATGGTTTTTAGAATATTTACATTTACACGATCAAATAATGCTTTTATTTTTGAAGCCAGAGTATTGTACTTCCTGTGTGTAGGTGAACTGGTTCACCTGGAAAAACTGCTTCACCTTGAAAAATTGCTTCACTTGGCTGAAGCGCTAACGGTGAATTATAAATAGAAATCTGATCAATTCATACAGGCTGAGAGTTTCATCCTAAAACCATGTAAAATGTAAGTTTTGGGGTCAATTAATAGATCATATCTTATTTAAAATCAGTTTTTGCAAAAAAAAAAAATGGTGGGAAAGAACTTTTTCATTAATTATATGTTGGATTAGAGTTTTACATTTCTAAATGTTTTCATGTCTGAATGAGCTGGGTTTTTTAATCAGGTCTCAATCTGACTCAGCTCACTTTGAACACAGTCTGAACTGCAATAACACACACGACCTAAAGATGTTAATTTCACATTTCAGCTCTGATATTGGTTCAAAAACATCACAGAGCACAAATTACAAACGCCTTTCTCATTCACGTTGATCCACAATTTCACATCTGTTACACACTGAAATATTTTTTTTAAATCAAGCTTTACTGCAGTGAAGACAGAATATGTGACAGGTCAGATTAATGAGACTCATCAGTGATGAACGTGGTCCAGGTTTCAAGTTCAGTTTGTTGCTTCCAGTTGTTTAGGAGTTTTTCCTCTCAGTTTATTTCATATTTGCAGCATCAGACAGCAGCAGGATTCATATGAGAGAGAAGCTGCTCACATTCAAAGCAGGAACTTAAATAATCACTGATAATTGATCCCTGACATGGAAACCCAACGACACAGGATCTAACAGAACCTGTTTAATGTTGTTCCCCTCAGACAGGTGAGCTGTCAAAGTCACTGTTTATCAGCTGCAGGTAAATTATTGGG